GGGGGTATGTGTAATGATAAACAATGATTGTAATTGACCCCCGCAACCAAAAATAATTTTTTTTAAACGATTTGTAAAATTTTTTTTTTCTCCAAAAAGTTTCAGCATCTACCCGATTTTTTTTCACGAAAGTGGATAGGATTTCGGAGGTATGTGTATTCACCAAAAATGATTGTAATTGACCTCCGCAACCAAAAATAATTTTTTTAGAACGATTTGTTAAAATTTTTTTTCTCGAAAAAGTTTCAGCATCTACCCGATTTTTTTTCACGAAAGTGGATAGGATTTCGGAGGTATGTGTATTCACCAAAAATGATTGTAATTGACCCCCGTAACCGAAAATAATTTCTCCAGAACGATTTGAAATTTTTTAATTTAATTGTTAATAACTTTTTAACGTAGCCTCAGTCAAGAAACTGATATTGTTTATTTTCGTCTTATTTTGATATAGTTTAGTTTCTCAATTTACAGATAAAAATTGGTCGTTCCAATAAATCTTTTGTACAACCACCCGTTCCCTAAGCTATCCTCGTAAAAAAAGCCTAAGCAAATGAAATACATATGTGTATAGATACATGTGCGAGCTTCGTTTTTTCTTCGAGGTCAAAGGAAACGACATTTCCTGAATACGCAAGAGGATAGCGGTACACGGATAGAAAATCATTAAACTCGCCATCGTCCAAGACACTCGTAAACCATTATCGATCATCGAACATCTTAATTTAAATTTGAACAGAAAAAGTAACAATTTTTGTTTAACGAATTCGATAACTATCGTTGCACAGAATTTAGATCACCATTGTGATCGACAAGTATCGTAAGCTGGCCGAGATAACAGGTACAGTTATTAGTACGAGAAACAGAGAAGTGGGTCGATGAAACCCAAGGATCGCGTTCGAGAGATGCTTGCGAGTTTGCAAAGCTCTGATTCCTTCTTTCTTCGTTCAAAGACGGAGAAAGTTCCCCTCCCTTTGTCCGCGAAGAAATCACAGTTCGCTGCGGAGGTACGCAAGTCACAATTTTAACGGACTGCCCAAGATTTCATGAAATCGTTTTCTCAATTACCATTCTCTCCTCGCGATTTGTTAGGTTAATTGAAACTTTGAAAATCCTGGCTAAAAGTTTTTAGTTCTTTCAATGATTTTAGGATTGGAAAATTTCTTGAAAGACTAGAAGGAACTTTGGGTATGAGAATCCTCGAGAATTCGGAGCATTCTCATGTTTACTACGAGTTCGAAAAACCGGTTTTCCTCTCTCAATAAAACTCCGGACCTGTGGATGGAACATTAGACGCGCCATCGCACTATCGATCGTATTAATCATTCGACTTCTTCAAGCTGCAATTGGGTAAAACGTAATTTAATCGACGAAACGTCATTTATCAACTTTTTCACGAATTGTTAAGCACAGTTAACCTAACAAACACTACATCTCAAACGTCACTTGGCTGTTTTTCGGTTTAATACATTTAAAAAGATGGCGTCACAAGAAATTTATATTCAATTTAAGGTATTTAACCGTTCGTTGATAATTCTTTGAAAAAAATTTTGCTGGTAAAGAAGGTTTCGCGATATTTTCGGATAATTATTTTCTATGAAGAATTACTAAAGGATGTTTGCTTGGGCAATAATAGTAATGTTTATGAAGTTGCGATGGCGGTCGAGACATGTTTTCTCAAGTCCCTAATCCGTTTGAAGGAGAAGTGACGAAGGCTCGGAAGATTGTGGCGGCAAACGAAATAAACACAGAAGAATTCGCGTGGCCACGCAATCTTTGCGAGAACCGGTTTCACTTGTATCGTTTGTGTGTAGCAAGCCGATCGAAACTTTTCGAGAACCCGAAAGATGGTGCTTGCTCGTTCGTGAAAACTCTTTCCTCGTTTCTATGCGATTGTTTGTCCTCGATGCTTTCTCACGGAGCTCGAGAAACGAAAGTATGTGTATACGTGTTTCATTTCCTGACGGGTGCAAACCTATCGACAATTACACGACTACTGATATTATCTCTAGTTTCGTCACACAAAAAAAAAAAACACACGTTATAATTTAATCGACACTTTTACAAGACTTCTCATTGAGAAACGATTACAATTCTAATTTTAAGGATACAGAGTTTTTAACAACTATTTAACACCAAATAATAATATTCTGCAAAAGTAAAATTTTTATTTTAGACCATTGTAAATTACATAACCTAAAATTTTTTTCGGTACTTAATTTTCGTAACTTTGTTAGAATTCACAAACTCTATGCAAATTCATTTCCCTCGACGTCTTAACTTGAGAATTAATTTTTCTAGTATTACAATGGTAAGTCCTGTCACCCATACGTGACGTGGCAGTCAAAGTGTTAAATCTTAGGGATTAGGATCTTATTACGTGAAATGGAAGTCGCGCGGTAACGGGGTAACGGTAAATTCAACTCGATTCGTTAGTTAGCTGCATTCTCGAGCAAGGAGGGATTTTTAAAAAGTCGGACAGTCGAGGAAAAGCACGCTATAAGTCGCTCGACTAGCGCGCGCGCGCACGTGTGTGTGTGTGTGGGGGGAGAAAGCAGCTATAGTGATGCTTCGATACAAAAACGACCGCAATCTCGACTAGCTAGTATGCAACACCAGAATTAGATCGCGAATAGCATAATCCAACCGTTAACCATTCCTTGGGATTTTCACTTACAGATGAATATATATTTAATATACAATTATATATATATCTATTAATCTTGAAATCGATACACATCGATTAAAATATATTACGAGTCTGAAAATATATAATTATTTATAGATTTATCGAATATATAATTCACAATTAATATATAATAAATTTTATATATTTCAATTAATATTTTATTTGAGCTTTCAAATTTTAAATTGGGTCGATGATTGTAAGTTAATTAGAAATAAATAAATATCTATATACATATAAAGGGTGTTCAGCCAACCCTGGGAAAAATTTTAATGGGGGATTCTAGAGGCCAAAATAAGACGAAAATCGAGAATAGCAATTTGTTGATGGAGGCTTCGTTAAAAAGTATTAACAATTAAATTCAAAAATTTCAAATCGGTCTGGAAAAATTACTTTCGGTTGCGGGGTTCAATTACAATCATTTTTGGTGAATACACTTACCCCCGAAATCCCACCCATTTTCCAGAAAAAAATTGGAGAAGATGTGAAATCTTTCGACGGAAAAAAATTTTATTCAAATCGTTCTAAAAAAATTATTTTCGGTTGCAGGGACCTATCACAATCATCTTTGGTCATTACACATACCCCCGAAATCCTACCCACTTTCTAGAAAAAAATTCGAGAAGGTGTAAAGTTTTGCGACGGAAAAAAAAAATTTCAAATCGTTTTGGAAAAATTATTTTCGGTTGCAGTGGTCAATTACAATAATATTTGGTGAATAGACATATCCCCGAAATCCTGCGTATTTTCAAGAAAAAAATTCAATACGGGCGGGACTTTAAACGTTAATAACTTTTTAACGAAACCTCCATGAACAAATTGGTATTCTTGATTTTCGTCCTATTTTGGCCTCTAGAATCTCCCATTAAAATTTTCCTCAGGGGTGGTCGAATACCCTGTATATTTATTTATTTATTTATTTATAATTAACTTACAATCATCGACCCAATTTAAGAAAGCTCAAATAAAATGTAAAAAAAAAATTAATCATGCTCGTAACTTGCCTACGTTACCGCGAGCTCTGCATAAAATACTATTTTATCAATAAATGGGAAATATATAAAAAAAAGTTAGAGATTTTTTTGCACGATTATAGTTGTGCGTGATACCGTGTGGGGGATACGTGTCAAAAACTTAGAAAGAATCGTCGCCTGAACGCTCTCATTAGATTACACGTACGATCGATATTCAATCATACTTGGATCGCACACAAGTATCCTCGTGTGAAACAAGTCTTACCGACCATGTTCAGTTAAATGCTATCTTCATTAATTAATAGTAAAGATATTGGTAAGTTATTTCATTTGTTAGAGAAATTCTTTAAAATAGTATTATAATCCATGGGCTAATTAATACAGTTTTAAAACTGTATTAAGAAATACTATATTTTCTTACGTGTACCAAGAACACTGATTAAGAATTTCTTTTTTCAGATTCAACCAAAGATTTTTGTGGATGAATAAAGCAACAATTTATGTAGCTTTGAACTGGGGAGTACCGCAATGACCTTGGAAAGGATCACACAAGTAACATCGTCTCGATTGCATCATAGTATAATCTACAGTAAACTCCTAACTTTGATTATCAACAGTGAAAGTTGAGCCTTACAAGAAAGAACGGTTACAATTTCTAATAAGAATAAGGTGAAACTTTAAGAAGCTATACAAAAATAATTGAATCAAAATATGTACAAAAGTACATACGAATGGGGGGGATTCAATTGCCTCTTGTTCACCTAAGTAAACGGATCTCCATTTATCCAGGGGAACAAAGGCGAGTGAGAGTGTAAGCGTCCTGACTTTATAGAATCGGTATTAGTTGACACGTATTGTAAGGCTAAAAACTCATCGAATTAAAAAGTTTTCCTCGGAAATGAAGGCTCAACAATCGCTGTTAAAATTGTATCACATGTTACAATTAAAATCTGGCTTTTCTTTTAATTCAAATTGTTACATCAATCCAATTTAATACAAGTTCCTAGGAAATAATATTTTCGAATTCTCTAACCTAAAATATGGAAACTTGTGAAATTTACAGGGTCCATAAATCTAATGTTAATAAGTGTATCGCGTGTCTTCAAAAAATTAGCAAAAAAACCATTTTTTTTTAAGTGGAATGAGCTTACATCGAAGTATTAGTCGATGCAGGTCGAAACTTGTTCAAACGCCTCAAAGACTCATCTCGAATGTTTACTTTTGTGTGATAAGAAAGTACTATGCCTTGCTCAGAAAAAGTCCACTGAGAACAACGTATGTAGTACGTTGTTCTCGTGACAGCAGACTTCTTCTGATACCTATAATGAAAAAAGAACACATACCGAGCCTGATGGCGGCAACCTGTACGAAGGCGAGGATCAACGGAAGTCCGGCGAGGACCGTGCACAGTCTCGTTCCGAAACTATTCCCGGAAGCGAGTTCATCACCAAGGAGGAGCGTGCGTGGCCGGCGTGGCCCCGCAGCCACTGCCATCGCACCGTCCTTCTCACTACACACTGCTTAACACTGCAATTTTTCTCTCCACTGTTCTGCCGGCACGGATTCCCCAAACCTTTTGACCGGATCTCAACGATACACTCTGTAACACGGCGATAGATACGATCGACACGCGAAATTTGTCCGTGAACGGTGTTGGGGTGGACACGAAAAGAAAAATGAAACCGAGGACGAGAAAAAAGAACGCGCCAGGGCGATTTTTCCAAACAAATCAGTCCATGGCTCGCGCGTACAAAATTCACGCGGCCGCGGTCAGCGAACGACTGACTCCGTCGCGCGCAGTCTTCTCTCGCGCAGGGTTACGCCTGGGAATATCACTGCGCATGCGCATAATCCTATGGACCACGTGTGACGAGTCCTGTAAGTACCTGTAATGGCATTTCGAGACTGGATACAGTAACGGACAAAATCATTGCCCATTAAAACGGGGTATTCCGATTTCTTTTTAATATTCTATACATGAATAAAAACACTAAAATACCGAAACTTTAACTTTCAAGTGCCGTCATTAATGAATATACTTTTCCCCCCGTTTCTTTCACATTAACAGGACGGTTGAAACGATGTCGGCTACGGAAACACTTTTTTTCAATGGAACTTGTTCTAATGAACTCTAGCTGATAGAATTTCCATTATTTTTATTTGCAAAAAATACTATGTGAACGCGTGTAAATATAAACGTATGTGTGAGATTCCAATATAAAACAATGTACGGTTTAAAAAGAAAAAGTCACAAAGAAAATTTTGAAAACGTGTATCTAGGATAGAATACCTCTTTAATACAAGAATATTTAGATAATCCATGCTTTGTACTTCGAATTTTGCCCTAATTAAACATAAATCCTTACATTTCCGAATCAAAGGTCAAGAAAACATATACAGGGTGTTCGGCCACCTCTAGCAAAAATTTTAATGAGCGATAGTAGAGGCCAAAATAAGACGAAAATCAAGAATACCAATTTGTTGATGGAAGCTTCGTTAAAAAGTTATTAACGTTTAAAGTGCCGCCATTACTGAATTTTTTTCTCGAAAATGCGCAAGATTTCGGGGGTATGTCTATTCACCAAAAATGACTGTAATTGAACCCTACAACGGAAAATAATTTTTCCACAACGATTTGCAATTTTTTAATTTTCTCGAATAATTTCACACCTTCTCTATTTTTTTTCTCGAAAGTGGGCAGGATTTCGTGGGTATGTCTAATGACAAAAACTGATTGTAATTGACCTCCGCAACCGAAAATAATTTTTCCACAACGATTTGCAATTTTTTTTCTCCGTTGAAAAATTTAGCCACCTAATTGGATTTTCAGTAAGGAATTTTTTTCTCGAAAGTGCGTACGATTTTGGAGGTATGTGTAATGATAAAAAATGATTGTAATTGATCCCCGCAACCGAAAATAATTTTTTTAGAACGATTTGAAAAATTTTTTTTCGTCGAAAAATTTCAGCACCTACTCGATTTTTTTTCTCGAAAGTAAATAGGATTTCGGAGGTATGTGTACTCACCAAAAATGATTGCAGTTGACCCCCGCAACCGAAAATAATTTTTCCAGAACGATTTGAAATTTTTGAATTTAATTGTTAATAACTTTTTAACGAAGCTTCCATCAACAAATTAGTATTCTTGATTTTCGTCTTATTTTGGCCTCTACTATCGCTCATTAAAATTTTTGCTAAAGGTGGCCGAACACCCTGTACGTATAATAATCTGTATCCTTATTTCTCTTGAATTTGCAATTGGTGGATTGCAACAAGCTTTTAATATTTCAGCGAATTATTTATTATAATGTCACTTTTTTGTTTACCCAATCGACAAATTTAAGTTGTTTAGTAATTTCAAGATCTTTTGGAATACTTTTGTTTCGTTTTCTTAATACAGGGTGTTCGGCCACCCCTGGGAAAAATTTTAATGGCGGATACTAGAGGCCAAAATAAGACGAAAATCAAGAATACCAATTTGTTGATGGAGGCTACGTTAAAAAGTTATTAACGTTTAAAGTTCCGCCCGTACTGAATTTTTTTCTCGAAAATGCGCAAGATTTCGGGGGTATGTCTATTCACCAAAAATGATTGTAATTAACTCCCGTAACCGAAAATAATTTTTCCAAACCGATTTGAAGTTTTTTTTTCCGTCGAAAAATTTCACACCTTCTCGAATTTTTTTCTAGAAAGTGGGTAGGATTTCGCGGGTATGTCTATTCACCAAAAATGATTGTAATTAACCCCCGCAACCGAAAATAATTTTTCCAGAACGATTTGAAATTGTTTTTTTTCATCGAAAAATTTAGGCACCTAATTAGATTTTTGGTAAAAAATTTTTTTCTCGAAACTGCGTAGGATTTCGGAGGTATGTGTGATGATAAAAAATGATTGTAATTGACCCCCGCAACCAAAAATAATTTTTTTAGTACGATTTGTAAAATTTTTTTTTCACCAAAAAGTTTCAGCATCTACCCGATTTTTTTTCACTAAAGTGGATAGGATTTCGGAGGTATGTGTATTCACCAAAAATGATTGTAATTGATCCCCGCAACCGAAAACAATTTTTCCAGAACGATTTCAAATTTTTTAATTTAATTGTTAATAACTTTTTAACGGAGCGTCAAACGAAAAATTGATATTCTTGATTTTCATCTTATTTTGGTCTCTAGAATCCCCCATTAAAATTTTTCCCAGGGGTGGCCGAACACCCTGTATATCTGACACTATTCTGCAGACATTCGACCATAAATACGTAGCTCGTTTTCTACCTGTTCGTGGAAACATACTCGCCGGAAATGAACGTAAACAAAATAAACTTACCTGACCCGTGGAACATGGTCCCTTCGAAGCTTTCATGGCTCCTTCTGCCATCCTAACAGACATGAAATCTTTCCGACTTTCATTTGCATTTCCTCAAATTCCTTCTATACACGATGCCGGTAAACAAAATTATTTCGAAATTCTGCCGCAGAATTTACAAATTTTTGATAAAATTTTGGTAAATTAAAAAACTATTTTTAAAAATAATTTTCCAAACAGAAAGCCAAGAAACAGAGAAACTATTCCAATATTGGTAAAACTAATTCGAACACAAGGAAAAGAGAATTTCTGTACCCTAAATTTTCCGTTGTATCTTCGTTAACTGCCTTCATTTTGTTGGAGACAAGCCTCTTATTTACTATAAGATATCTGTTGTCTATTCTACGTGACAGCATATCTCGACCAAACAGTACAAACCTGTAAAACATCTTGGTCAACGTTGTGCGCTAATGTTAAAGGTTCAACCTCAAATTTTTGTAGTTACTAAGGGATGAGTAACTCTCTTCATACTCCTCTTCATAGATATTGTTCATTTTTAAATATGCTATAAAGGACAATATTTTAAATAAATATTTCATTCGAAAAAATCAGTCAGATTTAGTTTTTAAGATATTTGCAAAAAACTATTGTTATCACTAGATTGAATTCTGTCTATACGTACATACAGGTTTGGGTTAGGTCTGGGTTAGGTTCTTGGTTCCCGTGACTTCCCCTAGATTTTGGGCGCAGGCGGTCACCGTGGTGTTTTAGTCGGTAGGAGTCCGGCACTACCCCGGCTCCCCCCCCAGGGAGCTGGGGGGTCCATGAGGAATTCACCACGATAAAAGGTCTGGGTTAGGTCTGTATGCGGACGTAGTAGCGCATCTGCGTCAATGGACGATCGCCGTTGCATCCTCCGTTTCTATGAAGTCGTAGTGGCCGGCAACCAACATACATATACATATGACAACAAGTGATTGGAAAAGTACAACTTAACTGATTTAAATGATTTTCAGTTTGTGCCGCTGCCTTTGATGCGGGTAGCAACTCGGAGAATTTCGTAGAACGGAAAAGGAAAGGAGCTTAGCTTTTCTGTCTTAGACGACTGGGATATGGGGAAGTTGGGATATAGAGTACAGCTTCGCAAAAAATAACTCATAAGTTGATACACTGCTATTGTTGAGCGTACAAAGATATAAACTGACGTTCCATACGATATAATGACGATAAAAAAGTGCAGAGGGCATGAATGATAGTTTAAAGAATTATATATACATATATGATTAATTGTTTACTGCTTGTTTAGTGCGTAATAAGAACCTCTTCTTTATGCATTCACTGATAGTATTTTATGGCGTTAATACCTATTTAGAGTCAAATGATATATCTCATGCTTGATCGACAGAACTTCCCTGGTCATATGATATGCATATGCATATGATTGCAGTGTGAGAAAGAAAGAAAGAAATAACGTGTAGTTGATCATATATGTTGTTTGCCAAAAAATATCGCCCCAAGAAAGACATCGACCGCACGTCATATCTGATATGACCGCGACCCGATGTTTTTCGCAACACATATTGTATAATATTGAAATACGCAAAATTGTAAGAGGAAAACATACTATGTGATATATCAATGGATTCAGAAAAGAAATTGTGTTCTTTTTTGTTATTATGTAAATTGTGATTTCTTTTAAAATAATGTTATAAACAAATTTTTTGTTATAAACAAATTATTTTTTTACAAAATTGATGACCAGCATTTGTATGTACATAAAAAACCATGAAACTTTTCCTTGAGAAGTTTTCTTCTATCTATGATAATTTTTCAGATAGTCTATTGTAGCTGAAACTTTAGGGGGTCGTTTCACCCTCTAAATATGAAAACGGGCCGATATAGAAGAATACGTATATCTTATTTTTCGGTCCTTTAAAACATATACAAAATTCAGAACAATCGGAGGCGGACACCTAAAAAACCTTAAGACATATACAGGGTGTTCGGCCATCCCTGGGAAAAATTTTAATGGGGGATTCTAGAGGCCAAAATAAGACAAAAATCAAGAATATCAATTTTTCGTTTGACGCTCCGTTAAAAAGTTATTAACAATTAAATTAAAAAATTTCAAATCGTTCTGGAAAAATTATTTTCGGTTACGGTGTTCAATTACAATCATTTTTTATGAATACACATACCTCCGAAATCCTATCCACTTTAGTGAAAAAAAATCGGGTAGACGCTGAAACTTTTTGGTGAAAAAAAAATTTTACAAATCGTACTAAAAAAATTATTTTTGGTTGCGGGGGTCAATTACAATCATTTTTTATCATTACACATGCCCCCGAAATCCTACGCAGTTTCGAGAAAAAAATTCTGTATGGGCGGAACTTTAAACGTCAATAACTTTTTAACGAAGCTTCCATCAACAAATTGGTATTCTTGATTTTCGTCTTATTTTGGCCTCTAGAATCCCTCATTAAAATTTTTCCCACGGGTGGCTGAGACACCCTGTATATCCCTGCACCGCAGGGCCCAGGGTTTCAAAGTTGCACAAGAGGTCTACAGGTGTTTACGCCTTGTACAAGAGTCAAATTCCGTTATTCTTCATAGTTGAGTTCGACGTGAATTGAACGTAAATGAATAAACTCTTATAATACAAAAGGAGCATTACATGACCATCCGGATTCCAACACGGGCAATTAACTTGGGATAGACGTGGGTCGACAAAGACTCATCCTCGAAGATAAGGGAGACCTTTGAGATGGCTGATAATTCTGCGTTACAACCCCTGGCAGTTTGGTGAATAAACTGTTTATGAGATTTCCGAACCATTTATTTTATTAGATTTAGAAACCTATATTTCCAATTGACATGAAATTTGAAGGAATTAGAGAGGAGGGAGAACCGGGTCTCTACTGTATTATTTTAAATTCCCTTGATCTGCATTCCTTTTAAAAAATCACTAAAATGCAGATTTACGATTCTTTCTTGTAACAGTTTGTAAAGTAGAAATACTTTTACAATTTATTTCCAATGTCAAAAATGATCGAATCGGTAATTTTATCACGTATACGCGCATATGCAACGGCTATAGCATTGCTCAAGGCGATAAAAAAGAAAAACAGTTGATTCAGCAAATAATTGACTTGCCATTGCGTAAATGAAATACACGTAAAAGCTTGCACAGTGAATCGATTAATTGATATTAAAATTTGGGAGTCTACATGTTACTTAAATGCAGAAAGAATTGTTAGAGATCATGTTGGTATTTATTACAGTATCGTTTGGAGAAAAAATGAAAGATACCGGTTGCACGGTACCACGACGCGCCGTCGCGGAGAAGGTTTTGTGAATCATTTGAATTCTTCGTAAGCGGTGGACAATTTAGAAAAATTTATTCCCGCCGGGAACAGCGCAGCGTCTTCGCGACGCGTGTGTTCTTTCACCTGTTATTTCACTGTTCATTGGTTGCGTAGCTCACGGGTGCAAAACTTCACAATAAAGGTCTTCTCCCCCTCCATCTTGTTCGTCAGTGCGCATGGGCACACCGGAGTGGTGACCTTGTGGCATTTGGTACCTGGCCGTACCAGTCGGTGCGCGACTCCGACTGACGTATAGCGATGCCTACGATCGCTAACTATTCACGCGAACTCTTGACGATTAATAAATAGAAATTTAATATTTGTTCATTTAGTTTAATTAAATATTCCAATATTATTAATAAATTTCCATCCATCTCAATCCTACGATTGCAAAGAAAAACGCCATATATTTTCTATCTCAAAAGTTACTCGAATATAATTACTTCTTCTTTCAAGCGATCTTACCTTTGATAAATCTGAATTTTTTTTAAAAATTTTCTGCAATTTTTACTTTCTAATTTAAGCATATACAAAGAAAAATCAATCAGTTAAATAATCGTCCAACGAAGACTGGCCGAGCTTGTTGACGAGACTCCTTGACAACGAATTTTCAATTAGCTCGATCAATCCTTCTTCGATATTTATAGTATATTGAAATATAAAAATTACACAAAATTTTAATTTTAAGGTAAACAAATTTATTAATCGTCCAAGTAATATAAATCCCAGTCATAATATTAATGATAATGTAACATTAATTATAGCCTTTAAAATCTTCAATATAACCTAAAATTTATTGTTCAAATGAAGTTTAAAAAGTAGCTTAAATCTATTTGTACTTACACGACGAGCCGTATGTTTCGATATATTCTTCTTAGATTTTTAACGTTTTAGGTTCTTTCGCCAACTATTCACACAAATTTAATATTTATTCAATTAATTCCATCAAATATTATTAATAAATTTCGTACCATATTTCCATGCATCCCAATTCTGTGATAGTAAAGAAAACCGGCATATATTTTCACTCTAGAAATATTACTCGAATATATATAATTCTTCTTTCTAGCAATCTATCCTTTAATAAATTTAATAGTGAAATTTCTGTGTAATTTTCACTTTCCAATACTATTTGTAAGAGATAACTTATCGATCATGGCAACGTCGATAACTTAAGATACATACGTTGATAAGTCAGTAATCTGCTTCTTCTTGCATTTCTCGAAGCGTCCATCACCGGTGGTCGTAACTGCGACACATTCTAGAATGTTTATCATAAATAAACCCTAATACTTTTGAAGATTCGAATAACACTAATATCGTCGAAATTACTGTAAAATGGTAAACATGTAATATTAACACTATCGTCTAAAAAATATGTATTTTCATAGTCAAGCGTGGTTTTCCTTATTTACTGACAAAATATTAAAAAATTTTTCAGTTTTAACAAAGACTTTCCATTTTGATAATTTCTAAAATAATGTTCTACAAAATCTTGTTCAACTAACATATTATTATACTTTGAACTTGAAAACACCGCTTCTATTTACTTCCAATTTACAACACGAGTTAGAAGAAAAATAAAAGTCCAAGCATAAACTTTTTTTTGTACTACTCAGTTTTATAAACAAAGTCATAATTTACAAATACTACTTGCAAAGAAGATATTCATTCGTAACAAAAGCATTCTGCGATCAAAATTAATTCAAGAAAATGATTTATCCCTTTCTGAACATTCACAGTGTGATAACGCTTCAGGATTGCTATTTTAAACGGTCGTTATAAAGTGTTCGTCACTATAATCTGTGTCTCTTACAATTTAATTCAAACTAATCACTTTTACCAGTTGTATTACATTTTAAATCAATGTAATTTGAACAAACTATACTTGAAAGCCATTATTTATCCAGAATACACTGAAAAATTCCAATCAATGATATAGTTATGCCCTGTACAATGCTATTTACAGCAAAATATACATATTAATAAACAAAATTAAATAGTATATATTTGAAAAATTACTTGTAATTGAATCGTACGTCAAGGAGTTAAGATTTCAAATAAAAATTACAATGTATGCATATACTCATAAATAATATGTATTACATTAGAATGTTCTCCGTAATCGTCCACACTTTCTCTCAAGTTTTCAATTCAACAAATTCCTTCTAACAAACCAGCTTGGAAACATTATTCTATAATAAACTCTAAACTAAAAAGATTATCAAATATTGTACCAATGGTTTCTATTTCCAAGTCTTTCACCAAATTCTGAATACTCGAACGGTATCTACAGTTCCGCTTTACAATTATTCTTTTAAGTTTGCACTACATTTATTACAATTCTCTTTGAATGCAACGCTAATGTTAAATCTATTGTATTCAACATTACTTGCATCTGTGGCGCGGCCAGAGAGCGCAAACACACAATTTCTGATGATGTAAATGAGACTAACTATTATTATTCGCTGCGCACACAAGTTACAATAGTAATAGTATAATAGTACTCTGGGAATGATCACCATTTCACACTTTTCCTAAGTTTTCTGTACAACGATGCAGAATTAATGCGACAACTGGCATTCGAACCTCCTACATATTTTAAAATCCATCTAAAGGTTTTAAATTTTTAATAAGACTAGTTTTCATTAGAAATTCTATAAAATAACTGGTATACTGGATAGAATATTTATAATTCGAACAAATGTCAAATTGGATGTATCAATGGAACGATATGAAAACGTTTTACTGATATGAATTGGTCTTCATGTGCAAAATTAATTGTTTATTACTGTAATAAAAGTAAAGTTGCAAATTAACCCCTTGCACTACGCTGAAATTCGAAGGAAACCGAGCCTAACCTATATGCCCGAATGATCGGGAAAGAACCCGAATCGAGAATCCCGAATATCGGAACTCGAAACACGATATGTCGATCGACGAAATATCGATATTTACGAGTTCGACTCGTGGTATTCATGTTTGGCCCGAAATGTCGATTACGAGTCAGACTCGTGTTATTTACGTTTGACATAAAATTAAACAACAAGCCTGACTCGTGATATTCAAGTTTAGCCTAAAATTTTTATCAGGAGTCAAACTCGTAAAAATAGTGCAAGGGTTTAAAATTTATAATGCTTGCATTGGACATTTACGAACAAAAGAAATTTTTTTAGACTCTGTTTCCAATTATTTTAATACTAGCAACTTGTAACGATGGCTTGTTTCACATATTTACATATCTTCTGGCTGCACCACTGTTTCGCGCTTGTCCACGGAATAGAGTCTGAAAATATGACTGGTGAAACGCAAACTCACTTGTACTAAATATTCGTTACGAGCTATGTAAACTATAAATTGGTCCACATATTTTGATTACAGATAGCTTACGCAAAGAAATTAAAAGAAAGGAGAATGTTGAAATATGCCCATTTTTGGTATCGCTTGGAAATGATTTATAAAGTTGTTAAAAACGATGATCAAACTCAGCTATATTTTGCTTCATCACCTTCTTATAAATTCTAAATTAAGCTTTGAAATCGAGCAAACTTTTTTGCTAATAAATCTAAGTAAAGAAAACAGTGACAGGTTTACAAGATATCGGTATAACATTTTCTTAGCAATGCTTGCAGTTACGATAACTGAAATCATAGATTATTTTTCACAAGAAAGAAACTTTTAACATTGTAGTATTAAACGACGGAATATTATGACTCTATTTCGTGAACAAAACCTCTTGTGCAAACTGAAAGAAAATTAACTTCGTAGAGCAGCGTTTCTCAAACTTCGATTTTGCGCAGATTATTTCAATGAAGAATATTAACAAAGTATAATTAAATTAGTGAATTTTAATACATTTTAAAAGTATTTTCTAAGGAATATTGTATTAGTTTTCGAATTTCCAATTTAAACTGTTTTCTAGAGTGTCGTCCTTCCATGAGAAGGCACAGTTTTCGACCATACCTGTGAGTCAGCGGACTGCAACAGGAGTGGGAATGTAAACACGCTATGCCTTCTTTTCATGGAAGTATGGTACTACATTCACATTCAAGAAAAACTTTGTTACTGCAAACGAGAAATACAATAAGATTTGGTATTTTGTACTATTCTGGACAGAAGCGAGAAACTAACAGAAAATTTTTATTGTTCCAAACGTTTAGGCTTTCGATCACCAGTATCTTAGTTAAAGAGATAGAAAATGGTGTAATTAGAGTAACTCTATGAGGCAAATAGTTTTTTTCATTCTCTGGTAGTGCGTTCTACGAGTAAAATGCCACAATGAAGCGTATACGAATGCTTCGTTAAGATATTTTAATAGATACAAATATTTCCTTCATATTGATACAGAACAAAACGAATTAGTAACGTTCGTATTAAATGACATAAACGTAGATATCTTTAAATAAAAAAAACAAATATCAAGAAAGCATTTATAAATTTTTACTTGAAGAATACACTGTACGTTGTAATTCTTCTTGAAAAAATTTGCAAAATATTGGAACGCTACTAATTATAATAAATGCCAAACAATTATGGACTTTTAATCGTAATACATTGTGCTGTACAATATAGTTCTTTGAGAAACGCTGTTTACAGGCAATATTGTCACGAGAATCTTCCTTTCTCGAGAAAAATCCTACCTTAATGCACATGGTGCAGAATATTTTACTTTATCGAATACTTCAGCAGTTCTGTGTGTTGAAAGGGGAGGAAGCTGGGTCGGTCCAAGCGCGGGTTTGAAAGGTTTAACGGAACGTCTTTTCTCCTTCGTTTCTACTGCACGTCGATGCATCCACTAGATCTATCCAGGGATATCCAGACCTTCCAAACTCGCGCTCAGACCGACGTTACTCAGCCAGGCATCTTGCGACTCGCGACTCCCAGTTCACAAGCGATTTGCTTGTGTTCACGATCCATTAACAGAGTCCTGGCGCTCAAGAAAGAGAGATCCGGAAGTCTATTGAGTACTCGCGTGGTTTCCGGTTGGATCTGCATCACACGACCAAATCTGTCCACCACCACGTGCTCTGCGGACCTCTTGTTCGTTGACTTTCCACGATAAACATCCGCTAAACTTGATTTCTCACTCGACACAAACTGTTTTTCAGTTTGTATGAAGGATTTCTCTATTGGAACGCTTCTCTGGACACTGTTTCTAATTTTGTGGCCTGAGTCGGGTTCCGTCTTTCTTTTCCATTCCACCACACGTGGTCCTGGCAACGGTTCTATCATTTTCGAAGGCTGCAAGCGTTTCTGCGTCTTCAAGGCTTCATTTTCCAGAGACTCGGTCTCTGCTTTCGACACTGAACTGCTCCGTTCTCGATTGACGCTCACTTCTGAGGTATCTGTTACACGTCGAAGAAATGTTTTTAATACTGACTCTGAAGTTCGTAGAGTACAGTATCGTCCTTCCACAAGAAGAAGGCACAGCGTGTTTACATCTCCACTTCTGTTGCAGTCCGCTGACTCACAGGTAACAGCCAATCAGTGGACAGCAACAGGAATGGGGATGTAAACACGTTGTGCCTTCTTCTCGTGGAAGGACGATACTTGTAGCGAAAAGATTTGAATGCTTTTGAAAACTTCTAATCTACTGTTACGGATATACCAAGCAAAACACTTACGATTAGGATTCCTGGCGCTACTTGGTCGACGATAGGATTCAGAGTTGACGGAACTGTGGGACGTTAACAGGGGATCGAAGGGACACAGAAAGTCCAGAGGTAGAAGAGCGGATAACCCACCACCTAGATCGCAGGGTTCGTCAAACATTTACCCAGTTATTAGTACACTTTGTGCACAAGCTTCTCAACGTTTTGAACTTTCAAGTAGAAATAAAAGATAAATAGTTGTAAAATTTGGAAACGTGCGATAAATGTTGGCTTTTATAGAAGTTTTGTTAAAGTTAGTTTTATGTTAAATCTAACGCAGATGAGAAAGCAATTTTCCAGGATGTTGAAGTTTATTTTTTAATTGAAAAAAGTCCCACAAATCAGTAATAAATCAAACTATTATTGTTATTGTATTTTGTGTTTATCACTATCGATGCTCTAGTTACACAGAACTTTTATAAAGTTTGTTCTTTATTGTACGATTTGTTTGCATTCCAGTTTAAAAGTCTGAAACGTTGAAAAATTGAGACGTTGCTATAGCTATGCACGACACTACAGGAACAAATTAATGGAAATATTGTCGAAGCAAAAGAATTGATAAAGAGCGGTAAAATTTACAGTATACAGGGTGTTCCACGCAACTGGAACAGGCTATACCTCCTAAACGGTTGGGAATAGGAAAATATGTTGTAAGTCAAAGTTAAATGGTATCAGACGATGCATAATATGCAACTAATTTTATGCACTTTTGTAATGCTACCCTTAACCTAACTTCGGCTCTTCCTACCAAGGTGACGAAAACACGTAGCGTTAACTGGTGGGAGGATTGGTCAAGCCAATGCTCAAAGTCGTCACCTTGGCAGGATGTTTCTTCAGGATGGGTCAGCAAACGATCACACACGAGTAGTAAATAATTACCGATGGAAATCTTAATCTTACAGTGACTACTATTAGCAGTCGCAAAACATTGTAAGGCAGCACAAACATTGTAAAGCAACACAAACATTGTAAAGCAACACAAACATTGTAATGGATTCGAAGAACTTTTATCTTCGATAACTGCCTAACGAATAAGTTTAGGGCATAAGTATGTTAGTACTTTTATGTAGAAGTCCACATTTCTTTAACGGAACATTGACTGGTTGAAGGCACCTAAACTTTCTGGAATCCGATCTACCAGTCCTCTTCCACGATTCAGAGATTCCTCTAAGTGTATGGCAAAACATAAGGTACTTACAACAAGACGGTGCTCCAGTACACAATTCACAGATAGTTGCCAGACATTTAAATAAAACTTATGCAGCGAAATGGATCAGTACACAAGGGCCGATCTTATGGTCAGTGCGATCACCAGATCTCACACCCCTCGACTTTTTTTTTATGGGGATCTCTAAAAGATAGGGTGTATTCGCACCCCATTACTAATCTTGAGGAGCTCCAACAATGCATTCAGCAAGAAATATCCAAAATTACGGAAAGAGACCTCAGGAACGTATTAAGTAACATCAAGAAACGGATGGAAAGATGCTTAGACTGCAATGGAGGACTGTTCGAACACTTGTTATAATGTAAGTACTCTGGAACGCTTGCTGAGAGACCGAAATAATTCAGAGAACTTTTATCTTCGATAACTTCCTAACAAATAAGTTTAGGGCATAAGTATGTACTTTTATGTAGATTACAAGAAACTACATCGACTGGTGCATACAAAAATATAGATTTCCATTTAAAAAAAAGGTGCAGTTGCATTTTTCTGATACACCAATGCACAAAAGTGCATAAAATTAGTTGCATATTACATATCATCTGATACCATTTAACTTTGACTTTTAACATATTTTTCTATTCCCAACCGTTTAGGAGGTATAGCCTGTTCCAGTTGCGTGGGACACCCTGTACATGTATAAATATTCACAATTTTTTATCATCTCAACCCTTTTGCATAGAATAAAACAAATATTATAAGTATGTAAAAACTAAACATTTCTCGAAATACTTTCAAAACTACAATATTAAAAAGGGAATATTCTTTGTACACTCGATAAAAAGTATTTTCCATTTTAAAAACTCCCAAGAAACAAAATTCTTTCCAATTCCCTAAAAGCTATAGCATCAATAAGAATTCTTTTGTATTGACAAAATATTGTGAAAAGAAGCATTAATGATACAGAAATGAAGTAGCAATACGAACATAAAAGTTGTGTTTAATACTTACTAGCTTCTAAAGGGTTAACAAGCCCAGAACTATTCCAATCGAATTGCGCAGCAGGTACTTCCTAATGGAGTTTCATTATCATAAATTACAAATGAAGTTCAATCTCCTTTTCTTCTAACAACAAAACATCGATTAACAAAAACGCTCACCTCCATCTGGATCGAACTCTGCGCCCAGTTAGAATTAATTGTAGCTGTAGGTTGAACATCTGTGGTGGCTTTGATGGGTTCCAGGGGAGTGAAGCCAAGGTTCGCAGCGAATCTAGGTACATTAGGGTTCCACCTAGGCCCGAACAACTGAAAACAACTGCAACTATTAGTAATTAATCCTAACACAAACTGATTTTACTCACTATGTTACGAGAGTCGATGCCAAGGGAATTCAAGAGCATATTGTTGCTCGTGCTGTTCGCCCACTGATACGTCAAAGCATTTGTTTCTTCCACACTTTTGACACTCTGCCAAACCCCATCTGTCTGACTTATCAGCGACTGGACTTGGATTTCGCATCGCTCCAAATTGTTTGGAAACAGCGTTGCAATTATATCTTCTATCTTGTTGGCAGCCTAGAGATAATTTTTATGATGCAAAATTGAAATCTGTAGAATTAATTAGTGAACTTACATTCTTATTTTCTATTCGAGATATCGACTCCTTCAGACTGAAACTTTCTGCCGCTGGCTGCTCGAAATCACTGAAGTCACCAAAGTCATCGTCTCTCTCAGGTAATTTCGCTACGTCAATCTTTTCCAACTGGCCCTGATCAGAGAAGTTCGTGAAATCCCCAAAGTCGTCATCTTCTATTGCTTCGTTTTTGTTTTTGCTAGTTCCGGCTGAAGAATCTTGAAACTCTGAACAAAAAGGCTTGGAGTCGCTGGACTCTGTTGCTGGCGAGCACAATGGAAAATTACTTCCGACATCAACATTTTCACTCTCAGGCTCTATTTTTGCTTGATCAACAAACTCGTCCCTCGTATTCTCATTGATGGATTCAGTATCCACATACTCGCCAACCTCCAATTGCAACACACTTTTCACTTCAGAATTTGCGTTTTCTACTTTACACATGGAATTAAAATCATTGGAAGTTTCTTCGGTATCTTGAAGCTCCAAGTAACTGGTTTTTGGTGCTTCCGTACTCGATATCCAGTTCTCTGACTCAAACTGTTCGTAATCGTAGAAATTTTGGTTCAGAGGTTGTACTGTGTCTGGACCTACGGTCGGATCCCCTAAGTCAAGACTTACAGGTTCTATTTGGTCCAAATTATTGGGCAAAGCTTCTAATTTATTTTCCACAAAACTATTTTCTATGTTGTTAGTGTTTTCCCCATCGTTCGTGCACTTGACTTCTGTTTTAAGTTTAATTTCACCTATAACATTTTCTGTTCTTTCCAGGATTAAAAGATCTTCTGGACTGGGTGCTTTCGATACCAAACTAGTCTGAGAGCCCTTTGTTTCTGGAATTCCATTTACTTTTGGAGACGCTACAGGTGTCTGAACAGGCGTGACAAGTTTGTGCGGTGAATCCGACGACACAGACAGTCCTGAAATGTAATGGTTTAGGTTTTCAAATAATTGATGGATAAATGGTTATTACCATCTAAGCCTCCAGTTGTGAAATCGCCAAATTCATCTTCCTCGGAGTCCCCAAAATTGTCCAGTGGAGGTGGCGTAGAGCTCACCAATGGTGGAAATGCCATCCTTCGCCTACTTTCTGTACATAAGTTAGTTTCAAAACTATGTTTATATCTTTTATGTTTTTTGTTGAAACTTAGTTTACAACTTAAGGAAATTTCTCTGTGTACTAAAAACCTCCCTATGCTCGGAATAACAAATTAAAATTGAAATTCAGTTATAAAAATTGCCAATTTCTCCAACGAAACTAATAAAGAAACAATTGAGAATTCTATTTCTGAAAAGAACGAGGTACATATGTCAAATATTTATAGGTTATGTACGTGTCAATAATAACCAACGAAAATATTTAATAAAAAGACAGACGTGGCGATGGAAATTGATGTGATTGGTAGAATTCTTCGCTCGGAGAATGAAAACTATGTTTAAATATTCGAAACATGGATTGAGTGACTTACATGGAATACCTGTTGAAGTTATTTTATCTATTTGTCATCGTTTCAGATTTTGTTCAACGACACAATCTTCGTCAATGACAATTGCAACTTGTTAGAACCACAAGGTTCACTGGCACGAATCACAAGACCGTCAATCGTGCCACCTGCAGTGACGTCAGAAGGAGCCCTCGGTGCACCGGGAACTCCTCATTCCACTTCCGTACACTATGCCACATCACGCGTAAGTGAGCTCGTAAAGTTTCGGAGAGTCGAGAAAGACAAACTGACACCTAACCAAACTAACCCACTTTCTCGATTCACCGAAGCTGCCCGAAGTGAGCGCGGATGCACTTCGGACCAGTGATGGACATCGTGGGAATTTTGGTCATGCGCACTGAAATTTTCCCTCGTGGGATTCCTCTCTGCGCATGCGTAAGCTAACGTCACAACTACCTGTCGTCCGCTACCATAGATGTATCTTTAGCGCAAAAAAGGTGCATGTAAGGGGCCCGTTGGGAATTCCAACATTTTATTAGCAGACACCTCATTTAGTTTAATATTAGCTTAAGGGGTAAGATTACTGTAAAAATCTGAAATAAAGCGTTTTCTTGCGATTTTTTTTTGGATGGATGGAAAAGTAAGAATGTTATTAACCATGTCGTTAAGCGTGTAAAAAAAATATTTATTCAAAAATAGTAGTTAGAGAAATACGTATTGGATCTTCGATAAGTTGATTTTAACATTATTTATTGACAAATGATTGCTCCATGTTTTGTAGAAAATTGAACTTTCTACTTCAAATGCTCGCCTTAAATACTCTACTTAAATTTTGTTCCTTACTGGGATCCAACGGTACCCTAAATTCTAGTTACGTATACGGCAGTGATCATGCGCACTGGAGCGCATGACCAAAATTCCCACGAATGTCCCTCACTGCGTCTGTGGTGAAAGGTCTACTCGTATACCTTGTCTGTGATTATACCACCATTTACGACAAAACGCCCAAGTTTATCGAGAAATAGTTTGCTCCCTCAAAAACTAGATAGCGCCCCAAATATAATAGATAGAAAAATATCTTTTTTTTAATTAATTTATTTATTAACACAGCTAAGCCTCTCTTAGGCTTATGTAAGCTTTAGGGTTATGTTCACTCAGTGAACGATACCATGGATCACATTCTGTGGTACTCCACCCCTTATGAATGAAAGGTGTAATAACATGATACGAGATCTAAAAAATCAATCACCTGTCAAACCTCCTCACTGTATTAAAACATTCTTAGAAGAACCCAACATTAAAGCACTACTTATCATTGATTCGTTGTTACTCCATTACTAACTTTCAATTTAATCTAAACATAACCACCAAAATTTAAGTAGTAATAATTTCAAAGGTATATATTAAATAGTATAAGATATATATAATTTTGTGTGCTAACCAAAAGAATATATAAGCCTAAGAGAGGCTTAGCTGTTGTTAATAAATAAATAAATAAATAAAAAAAAGATATTCTTCGATCTATTATATTTGGAGCGCCATCTAGTGTTGGAGGAAGCAAACTATTTCTCGATAAACTTTGGCGCATACTTTGAATTTAAAAAAAAATCAGCTGTGAGTAACTGTTTCCATATTATTTGTGAAATAAAATTAATAAAATATTCGAAATAATCCAACTATTCCAAATAAAATGTGTCTATGCTTAGGCTCACATTTTATTAAGCCTTTTACAACCAACGATGAACTATAATTACTTAAGTTTTATATACATAATAATCGAACAAGTTTTAAAATTCAATTACTCTATCATGTACTTATTTATAAAGTCCAATAAAATTTGTATAAGACACCAATAATTTATCCAATATAAAAAAGTATCATTAAACTATACATTCTCGTACAGTATCAAAATCGAAAGAATAATCTCCACCTTCGTTTACAAAATGAATATCAAGCAAACACACAATTTCACACAGCATTATATTTAAATCTGCTTTGCGTCTTGTTTAACAGTATGTTGTGTACGCCTATGCTTCCGCATATCCCCTTTCTGTCTGAAACACCTTCCACAAACATCGCAGGCATGTGGTTTCTCCCCAGTGTGAATCTTTATATGATTGTTTAGAGCTTCCGTTCTGGTGAACGCTTTCTCACAATAATGACACTTATATCTACGATCACCTCTGTGAATCAGTCGGTGTTGATAAAAAACAGAACCGGTCAAAAAAGCCTTGTTGCACACATCGCACTTAAATGGTCGCTCTCTGGTGTGTTTTTTCCTGGTGTGGTCTGCTAGGTCAGGTTTTATCGTGAATCTCTGGTCGCAATACTCGCATGCGTATGGTTTCACACCCATGTGGAACCTCTTGTGGGTCCACATGTGACTCGATTGTGTATAACTCTTCCCACAAATATTACAAACATACCTAAAAAGGAATACAAAAATTATAAAACTGGTTCGTTTCAATTCACAGTAATGCGGAGCTAAATTTAAATACTTTACATACGGCCTGAGTCCACTGTGCCTCCTCTTGTGTGCATTAAGAGAATTTGCAGTAGGCAATAGACTCCCACATATATCACAGGGAAACTTCGAACACCTGTACTTCCCATGTTCTTGGAAACTCTCAATATTTGGAAAGATGCTTCCACAGAGTTCGCAAATGAACTTTTCTTCACCTTCTTCCGTTTTCCTAGTCATTGGTTGATGCCTTTTCTGCTTATGCTTGTAAAGTAAGGATAATTCTTTGACATCTCTGTCGCAAACTTCGCAGAGAAATACCACAAGAACTCTGAATATCCTTGGATGCTCTTTCCAGTGAAGGACTGCCTCTGCGAACGATTTAAACGAAGAGTCACAGTGGTTGCACGAGTAAGGTTTTTCCACTACGTGCAACTGGCGATGGCTCTTGAGGTGATCCGTGTCTGCGAAGTGGCTGTCGCAGAGTTCACAATGATACAGTTTCGAAGCTTGCAACTCTTCGATCAGGCCAATCTTCTCTTCGTGCAGTTTGCAGTGCTCGTCGGCGGATTCGCTGGATCCAAAAGCTTCCCCACAGTGAACACACCTTTGCGACAAATGAAACATTCGCATTAGAAGTGAACGTTACTAAAAGGATTTGGTGTACCTCCAAATTGCTTGGCTGGATTCTAAAATTACGCTGTGGCCAGCCACGTGTTTGTTCAGCCTCGACTTCTGCGTGAAACTTTTTGAACACTCCGGACACTTGTACGGTTTCTCTGGAAGATGTGTCACCACATGGCGCTTTAATGTGTACCTGAAGTATGAATGATTTGGAAAATTGTGTTGGAGGGGGATTCTAGTTACAAGAAATGCACAAACCCATCGCAGAATCCTTTCGAGCAGACTTCGCACACATATGGCCTAGTTTTCCCATCCAGACAGATGTGTTTTTTTAGTTCATCTTGGTTTTCAAACAGTTTTCCACACTGCAGGCAAGATACTCGACCGTCTTTGCAATGGTACCTGAATTATGACAATTGAATGTTAATAATATCCAACTAATTACTACAGCAAGCAGAATTACTATATCATTCTCAGTTTCACACAATAAAGTATTTCGTGAGGATTGAAAAAGCTGGGAAAGTTTGCCTTAGCTTAACAGATAGAAAAGAAATTGCTGCATATGATACTACCGATAATTATAATATTTAACGATGTTAAAGGACGGCCAAAATTTCAAAAAGTGCTCAAGTACATACTTTCTACACAATATTGTTGCAGATTTATAAAAAATTCTTTGCTTGAAACGAAAGCTATACATAGCTTCTGATTCTGTAAACATTTCTGAAAAAGAAACTACCCAAGTGTCTCCATGCTTTAATGCAACATACAGGGTAAATCACTATTTTCAATCGAAATAGAAACTTTTACTCTTATTTCTTTCTTCCATTGATCATTTGCATTGTAAAAATACTTTTACTTGTATTGTTCTTCGCAGACAAAGATGTAGTGCAAAATGAGCTTGTTCACATGCGTGCCAAGACTTTACACATGTCCGATGGCATCAAAGCTGTAAGAAAAACACTGAACGATATGAGGGAACAAAATAATCATTGCCAAGTAAGACTTTCTCAATTCTACTTTGTTTATCCTTTAAGCATCCAACCAATGACAGTTACAGACTTACAATTCAGAAAATTCCACACGCATTCCATCGTTTAAAAATCTAGATTCATAAAAACTAACGATTGATAGTTTCTTTAAAGTCAAATCACCAAGTTTGAACATTTGATTTTAATTCAGGAAAATCACTCGAGCAAGATTTGCATGAAAATTCCCAGTAACAAATGTAATTACTTTTTTAGTCACTAGTTTTCTCATTCACTAATGTTTTCTTTAAAATTAAGGTATGTTCCATTTGTAAGCGATCCAAACCATCAATGTTCAAGTTTAATTTAGAGAATAAGAAAAACTCAAGCAAAGTCAGTATGATATTTGCAAACAATAGAGTATTTCTGTTGTGAATTGTATGCAATTAGTTACTCGTTTTACAATTTTTTATCTAGAATTATTGAAACAATTGAAGCTATTGTCAAATCATTTATCTTGGAACAATATAAACCAATTTACGAAGAACTGAAGGTAAATTTCAGTTTGCAGGATGCTTAAGGGTTTTATTTGCACCAAATTTCTTGCCACTACTTTTGTAACATGTTAATAATGTAATTTAGGAACTTCTATCACTGATAAACAACTTGCACGAGAAAAATATCCACATGGAAGAGAATGTTCCATCGACACTGATCTCTAATTACCAGATGGATTCTCTGAAACATGTTCACAAGGAAGATTTTCTGAGGGTTCCGAACAACAGAGAGCTGTTCAAGAGCCCCATAATAGACTGCAAAAAGATTCTATTCAACGAGCCTGAAGTTTACCCAATAATCCCTTTAATAACTAAAGACGAATTTGGTACGATTCCTAAGTATATCATTGGAAGACAGTCCCTGGACAGCATAAATAGCCTAATTGATGCCATAAACCAGGTATTAAAGAGGAAATATACGCTTCTGTCGCTGGGGAAAGCTAATGCCAGAAAACAAGGTGACCTGAGCCTTTATTTACATTATAAGAAACAGGAATTGGACATCTGCAGCAAGAATGGTAAAACAATTAACAGAAATCATTTGTTAATAACTTAACGATTAACTCGTAGAGTACTAATCGCGTTTAAGTTTCTTCGTACAAGATGATACGAGCACATAATTACTTGAAATGAAAATTAATTCGAGGCATAGAAAAGAAACGGATGCATAGATTTCTTTTCGATTCCGAAAGCAAATGTTTTCTTAAGTCGTAGGAATTAACATACAATTTGCATGAATGCATCATTTCAGTTTTCATTCAACAACTTGCATCGGAGTAGAATTTACTTCTTTTAAGGTTCCGTAGAAAAAAATGCCCTAAAAATTTTATTGGTAAGATTCGGAACTTCATTCTACAGAATTTGATCAAATAACAGAGTTAACGAAGACTAATATTCCACAATGCTTGAATAATAGAAGTAATGATTAAATGTAAAATGTATTGTGCTAAAAAATAATTTCGAAGTTTGTTTCAATTAGTATACAGGGTGGGGGTCACTTAACGTTTGCACCTCAAATATCTTTGGCATTGTGTGAGCCCCATTGTAGCATTCAATTTTGTCCTCAAGACATTTGACGTATCTTTAAAAACAACAAAGATATTTGAGGTGCAAATGTTAGGTGACTCACCCTGTATACGTCAATTAACAAATAAAGTGAGAATCGTGCAAATATTAATATAATGTCATAATCAGATATCATTTAGTTTAAGATTCTGGTAAAGTAAATATTGCCAAACACTCTGAACACAAAAACTACTTACTATACTAAAACCGAAAGACCAGTACCTCTTATAATGATAGAACAGTTTCAATTCCTTCCCAAAAGTGATTTTGCAAACTTCGCAATACAAAGCTTTAGCATCTGTGTGGAATCGTTGATGAAACTGCAATCGTTCCTCGAACGTAAAAGTTGCAAAGCAAACATTACATTTATATGGTTTCGATGTACATTGCAAATTAGGTTTGCACTTATGTTCATCCAGGTTCTCCTTTGTGTGGTAAAGATTCATGCAGGCTCCACATTTCAGATATTTCTGCTTTGTTCCCAAACAAAACAACGTAATAGCTTCCGTCTCGTTTTCATCAACTTTCAACACGCTTGGAATCTGTTCTTCATCGCTGCTTTCCAGAATTATGTCACTATCGTACAGTTCTGTGTCCTTTCGACTCCCCTTATGATCTTCGAAAACTCGCATTCGTCCTTCGACACACAGTGGACACGAATCAGAGCTCTCAAACTCTCCTTTGGTTTCATTTTTTGCAAAGGAATTTTTGTGCTTCAGAATTTCGAGCAGAGTTTCTTCTGCTCTGATGCATTGTGCATCAAACTCGTTGCACCAAATTATTTTTTCTACACATGGTGGACAGAGTTGTTTTGGCAGCGGGTCTGTTTTCTTCACCTGAAAGAAACCATTCGCATTTGTATTGGACACTAGAAAATTTCAATTTACAGTGCTCCTAAACGAAACAACAACAAAATTATTATCTGTAAGTCGTTGATACCTTAATACTCAGACATGTATTAATTTTGTCCAAGAGTCGTAGGGACTCTCCGAATTCTGAGTAAATATAAATTGGGTTTAGTGTCTCCCCTGCGCAAAGACGACACAGTGATTTGATCTGATTTTGCTTGTCAGGATCAGGAGCAAATTCTAGGATCTCGTTCGAGGAGAGTGGTTCATCTTGGGACCAGATGATGGATCCTTCAAAGTCATCTAGCTCACTCAAAGTGCTGATTGACTCTGCCTGCACGATATTCATTCTACGATCATTGTATTCAATCTTAAACTCTACGTCATAAAGCTTCGATTTAATCTCTATGTGACGAAACTTTTATTTAATCTCAGTGTCAACAACAAAGCTTCTTCTTCAATGCGATGAGCTGAAAATAATCAAATCAATCATGCGTCAAAAACAATCAAATTTAATTATATTTTGTGTGAACGTAATGAAATTGGTAATTTTTATTCAAGTTGTTTCATTTAATTCAAAAATATTTGAAGTATTGTACATTAATCATTGATTTGCTCGTTTGCAATCTCACTTGTTGTTTATATACTATTTAAGAGCTATTTTTATTGGTGAACTATCCTGTGTATATTCGATAATGATACAGATTTTATTTATTGGTTCGTTAGTATACAATCTCTACCTTTTATAGATTTTGTAAAACTTATTCAACATTCCATTCCGAACGAAAGTATTTTGGAGCAGATTACCTCGTTCCTTGGAAATTATAGGACTCTTTCATGGCAAACTAAACTTCTTCTTATTTTGGAAGCTTTTGCTCTTTTTTACGCAAATTTTCGATAAACACGCTGCCTTGACGACGAAAACAAAAACGAATCTCGACCAAGAATATTTTATAGCATTAACGAAGTTCCAATACAAAGTAGCAAATGTACAATGTATTTATGCAACAGTATATAAATTACAGAAACTCATGGAACATCATAGAAATTGTTATTAATTTATTAACGTTTCAAATAATTACATTTTGTACAATTATTTTATTAGTATATAAAGATAAAAAAATATACGAAACAAACTATCGTATTAAAAATTACGCTTCGTAATGGCCTACTTCGGTAATACAACGTATCGTAGATCATTCTTTATCCTATGTTCCCGCAATCGTTTACAATGTCTCAAAACCGTCAGCAAATTCAGCTTGATTTTGTTCAGTTTGCATTTCGTCTGCTCCTCGTAATCCTCTTTGGTGAAAAAATACACGTACTCTAAAACACAATATGAACATTGCACAAGAAGACTAAAAGATTACAAATTTCGGTTAAAAAAACATGGACTGGAATAACAAACATAATATTTAGTATTCTACAGGACAAACGAGAGAATTTTTCTATGAGAAAGCATAATATACTAATTGAAACAAACTTCGAAATTATTTCTGAGTACAATATCAGAGTGTTTGGCAATATTTACTTTACTAGAATCTTAAACTAAATGATATCTGATTATGACATTATATTAATATTTGCACGATTCTCACTTTATTTGTTAATTGACGTATACAGGGTGAGTCACCTAACATTTGCACCTCAAATATCTTTGTTGTTTTTAAAGATACGTCAAATGTCTTGAGGACAAAATTGAATGCTACAATGGGGCTCACACAATGCCAAAGATATTTGAGGTGCAAACGTTAAGTGACCCCCACCCTGTATACTAATTGAAACAAACTTCGAAATTATTTTTTAGCACAATACATTTTACATTTAATCATTACTTCTATTATTCAAGCATTGTGGAATATTAGTCTTCGTTAACTCTGTTATTTGATCAAATTCTGTAGAATGAAGTTCCGAATCTTACCAATAAAATTTTTAGGGCATTTTTTTCTACGGAACCTTAAAAGAAGTAAATTCTACTCCGATGCAAGTTGTTGAATGAAAACTGAAATGATGCATTCATGCAAATTGTATGTTAATTCCTACGACTTAAGAAAACATTTGCTTTCGGAATCGAAAAGAAATCTATGCATCCGTTTCTTTTCTATGCCTCGAATTAATTTTCATTTCAAGTAATTATGTGCTCGTATCATCTTGTACGAAGAAACTTAAACGCGATTAGTACTCTACGAGTTAATCGTTAAGTTATTAACAAATGATTTCTGTTAATTGTTTTACCATTCTTGCTGCAGATGTCCAATTCCTGTTTCTTATAATGTAAATAAAGGCTCAGGTCACCTTGTTTTCTGGCATTAGCTTTCCCCAGCGACAGAAGCGTATATTTCCTCTTTAATACCTGGTTTATGGCATCAATTAGGCTATTTATGCTGTCCAGGGACTGTCTTCCAATGATATACTTAGGAATCGTACCAAATTCGTCTTTAGTTATTAAAGGGATTATTGGGTAAACTTCAGGCTCGTTGAATAGAATCTTTTTGCAGTCTATTATGGGACTCTTGAACAGCTCTCTGTTGTTCGGAACCCTCAGAAAATCTTCCTTGTGAACATGTTTCAGAGAATCCATCTGGTAATTAGAGATCAGTGTCGATGGAACATTCTCTTCCATGTGGATATTTTTCTCGTGCAAGTTGTTTATCAGTGATAGAAGTTCCTAAATTACATTATTAACATGTTACAAAAGTAGTGGCAAGAAATTTGGTGCAAATAAAACCCTTAAGCATCCTGCAAACTGAAATTTACCTTCTGTTCTTCGTAAATTGGTTTATATTGTTCCAAGATAAATGATTTGACAATAGCTTTAATTGTTTCAATAATTCTAGATAAAAAATTCTAAAACGAGTAACTAATTGCATACAATTCACAACAGAAATACTCTATTGTTTGCAAATATCATACTGACTTTGCTTGAGTTTTTCTTATTCTCTAAATTAAACTTGAACATTGATGGCTTGGATCGCTTACAAACGGAACATACCTTAATTCTAAAGAAAACATTAGTGAATGAGAAAACTAGTGACTAAAAAAGTAATTATATTTGTTACAGGGAATTTTCATGCAAATCTTGCTCGAGTGATTTTCCTGAATTAAAATCAAATGTTCAAACTTGGTGATTTGACTTTAAAGAAACTATCAATCGTTAGTTTTTATGAATCTAGATTTTTAAACGATGGAATGCGTGTGGAATTTTCTGAATTGTAAGTCTGTAACAGTCATTGGTTGGATGCTTAAGGGATAAACAAAGTAAAATTGAGAAAGTCTTACTTGGCAATGATTATTTTGTTCCCTCATATCGTTCAGTGTTTTTCTTACAGCTTTAATGCCATCGGACATGTGTAAAATCTTTGCACGCATGTGAACAAGCTCATTTTTCACTACATCTTTGTCTGCGAAGAACAATACAAGTAAAAGTATTTTTACAAAGTAAATAATCAATGGAAGAAAGAAATAAGAGTAAAAGTTTCTATTTCGAATGAAAATAGTGAAAAATAATATGATTACGTTTTGAAACAGATTGAATTGTATTGTAAAAAATAATTAAAATTTTGTATTACTTTTAATTAATATTGTTGCAGTTTGAAGATCTCGTAACTTGTCGCATTGTCGTTCCAAGATTACTTCGAAAGATTGAAAAGTTGCCATTTTGAGTTCGTTAACTATTTATTTGAAAGACTGGTTTGTTTTCAAAATGAAAATACGTTTGGATATTATGTATTTTGCAAAAAAACGAGAATGACGGTTTGGCAAATTTTAAATTAATTTTGGCGTTACTCGTAGAAGGCTTTGACTCGTTTCCGGTATTTTCTATAATTCACACTATAATCCATTCTGCAGACGAAAACGCTATAAAAATAAGAATTGGAACAAATTTTATCGAAAATTTAAGATTCTTTTGTAAGTTACAATTTCATTAACGAATATGCGAAAAATTTCAACTCGTTAGACTTTGATGGAAACGAAACATAACCAAAATTTCATTGGTTGCTGTATCGCCGCCATTACAATAATTAGAGTAGCCAAATGATACAAATTTAAATTCTAATTATTACATTTTTTTAGTTTTAGCATCTGTTTCTATGATTATCTTTTTATTTTAATGTAGATAAAACTAAAATAATATTTGAATGTAAATAACGAATTGTCAAATATAAAATATCGATTTTAAATTTTGATTATCTGGAAATAACTTTAAACTAACAGCGGGAAATTCAAAGCTTCGAAACTGTAATAAATTTTTAATTTAAAAATTGCAGTTTTAATGAAAAAATTTCTGAAAGAAACAATTCCATTCCAGTTTCTGACTAATAACATTGAAACAAAGAACTTTATCAACATATTATAAGTAAAAATCACACATTCAGTTTCTTTATTCTTTCAAACGATTTTGAAATTCATTTCAAGTATAAAAACTTTAATAATAATTCGTTAGAATTTAATGGAAACGAAACATAATCAAAATTTCATTGGTTGCTGTATCGACACCATTGCAATAATTAGAGTAACCAAATGTTGCAAATTTTAGTTCTAATTATTAAATTATTTTACTTTTAGCATCTGTTTCTATGATTATCTTTTTATTTTAATGTAGATAAAACTAAAATAATATTCGAATGCAAATAAAGAAGTATCAAATGTAATCAATCGATTTTAAATTTAGATTATCTCGATCTAAAAACAGAACAATTTTATATTTTTGTAGTGTCACTCTTGTTGCTATCACGTGGGTTTATTTATCTAATTTCTATCTTTTTTCGACATATATTTTATTTTCATGCAGTCAAAAGAAAATATACAATTATATATCTTTCTCAGAAAAACATAAAATAATATTTGAATCCAAATAACGAATTGTCAAATATAAAATATCGATTTTAAATTTTGATTATTTGGAAATAACTTTGAAATAATAGCGGGAAATTCAAAGCTTCGAAACTGTAATAAATTTTTAATTTTAAGAATTTTCAACGAAGTACTTTAACAACATATTATGAGTAAAAATCACACACTCAATTTCTTTATTCTTGTAAACGATTTTGTAATTCATTTCAAGTATAAAAACTCTGTTGCCAATTTACTCTTATTTCACTGAACATTGTTCGACCATTGGACCATAAATGATGGTCGTAATCTACAAGAAAGTTCCAATAGAATTTGATTATCAAATTTGTAGAGTCTTCAATAATAATAATTATTCAACTAAGTATCCTGTTAATAAATAACCACCTGTATCACTGGTTAAAATGTCAGGGTGTGTCCTGTCTGGCAACACTTGATAGGAACGCAAGAAATTGGAGAACAGTCTTAAATTAATAACATTCTGTCTTTGTTTTAACACCATATATGTCTCTTGGAGAGGTTCTCGATAAACATGATAAATCACAAACGGCCTGGATGCTCCTAAAAAGGGCAAAAGAGCCATTACAATATTCAATGGATGTTCCTTGGCCACGATAGCCAATCCACGAGCCTTTGAATTCCGCACAAGATCTACAGCGTGTTGCGTTTCCAACAACCACTTAGGTCTTTTTGAAGGCACAACTTCTGCAGAACTGAATTCGTCTAACTTTCGTTTTATCGTACTCTGTTCCTCAGAAATCTCATTTGTATCGCTAACAATTTTTAAATATTCTTTATTCTCTGTTTCCTTGTTTCCTAAGATTTGACCATCTATACAACTGTTTTCTATGGTTCCATCGACATTTTCTTTAATTTTATCTGTCCAATTATCACGAATCTTCTTCAATGCTAAAATATTATTCAAAACAGCGCTTTCCCCTTGATAATACAATCTTAAAAAGCTATAAATATTGACATTGACCAGTCTCTCCGACTGTTCTTTAGGGAAGTTCATGGCATGGACAATTGTGGTTTGGGGCACATTTCCAGGATGCAAATTAATCAGATATCCCTCCGTGTCTGCTCCGATTCTATTTAACATTGCAGCTGTCGGCAAACCTTGCGATCCACTACTGTACAATATATACAATCCATTCGACTGAACGTCACTGTATGACAACAATTGTGCCAACGCATCCATACGCAAATTTCCAATTTTATTATGATCCAGCTTAAAGTAAACAGCATGCAGAGAACTTATACTCGGTTTACAAACTGTCAAATGCCTAAGATATTTCTGTTCCTTCTTTTTCAGATATTTTTCTTGCGAGTATTCAGTTCTATCCAAGAAAGACTTATTGTTCTCAATCAAGCTGCCCACAATCTCTTTCCCACTCTTCCCAGATTCCTGCAATTGAACAATTTCTTCTTTCGAGAGCTTCTGTGAGTTACCATCATCGACGATGGATCGATTGTCGTTTCCTTTCGACAAAGTGCTCAGCAAATCGTTCCATGACTCGGTTTCCGTTGCCTCTTTCAAAAAAAACGACCGTTTTCCATTTTTGGACGGTATCATCTCGAAACTGGTCCAAAATCGTTTCCCGATTATTTCACCCATATCCACCAGGTCCTTTCCTAGAGTCAAACTACCATTTGCGGTAACCTTGTAAATTTTCTTGTAATTCAATTTCTTCACTATCACGTATTTTCCTATCGTGATTACGTCTGTCTCGGAATCACACATGTTTCGTTCTCTAATAGAATCCTATGCCGTTTTTGTAGGTTAAGTGTTGCATGTTGGTTTTAGGTTAAGGTTGCTACCACGCAGTGTGGTCAAAATTGGCATTGTGAGTCACAATTTGTGACGTCCGCGTGGCGTACGTCTCCCCACTCTGGCCCCTCGTCCCTATATTATGTATAGTTAGTTACCAGATAACAAGTAACTAGATTACGGAAACCGTCTTACAACATCACAAAGCATTATAACTATTATGTTCATTCACCAGTAATTATTATATTCAATCGCTAGGTGTGATATTTAATCTTATTCGTCGTTATGGTTACCTATTGTCGATTATTATATTCATTTAGGTCTTGTAAAATCTATACAAGTTAATTAATTAATGTAATATTTCAGAGGGCGATCCACGATGACAGCGCTACGTGGAAATCCACTAGCAGATTGCAGCGCCACCTCTGGAAGAAAATGTAACCAAGTAAGTCTAGGGAAATCCTTTTCACGTTTTCATGTATCTTTAGCGCAAAAAGAGGTGCATGTTGGAAATTCCCAAAATTGAACTTTCTACTTCAAATGCTCGCCAATCACACAAAAATTAACTTATCGAAGATCACCTATGTATTTCTCTAGCCATACTCATGTAGATTAAGAGGAAATTTTTCGTTTTTGTCTCCTTCCCTGTAACTTCCTTAAATTTTGTTCTTTACTGGGATCCAACGGTACCCTAAATTCTAGTTAAGTGTATACGGCAGTGATCATGAGCTCCAGTGCGCATGACCAAAATTCCCACGAATGTCCATCACTGGTTTCGTGTTGAGGAATGCAGTGTCGCCACCTATGAGACCGATTCGTATATGGGACTCTCCTGTGCGACGACTAGAACGTTCGCTGTACTCGATGATTTTCATTTTCTAAAAGTTACACTAGATAGTCTTACTATGTAGTCTATGTAGTCTTGGCCACACTGCTACCACGTGATTACATACACTACCACAGCCGACTCTAGTACTTACTAGCCGTGCTGTAATAAAATAGCAACACCGCGGGAGTCCGGCTTCGATATACCTAGCCCAACCTACCGTAACAGCCTCCCAGCCTCCCACTACCCACCGGCCTCTGGGCTACATAGGCTCCATCTACCGGCCTTCCGGTCTCCCGCCTATCTTTCAAATGTTTCAAATATTAATGTACCGAAGCCCATTAAATGTGAGCAACGGAGCAATAATCCAGGTGTTTCATTTATTTATATTAACTCTACAGATCTTGATTTTGGTGTGTAGCACACTTATTTAATATAATCTATAGCATTTTTGGACATTTTGTTTTATATACACTTTTTTTATAAATTTCACATATTCATTAATAATGCCACGGCGTTGCTGTGTTCCCAATTGCAAGGGAAATTATGATAGTACCTTAAAAGATAATAATTACAATTCTATATTTTTATTCCCCAAAGATGAGGAATTGCGGGAGAAATGGAGGGTTGCTATTCCTCGTAAGAATTGGACACCATCAAAATATTCTGCCGTCTGTAGTTTGCATTTTGCAGAAACTGATATTGAAAGGTACCACGGTATTCTATCGCCCAATGGTGTACTGGAGAATGTTTTGTTGAGATGTCCAAGGCTTATAAGGAATGTAGTACCCTCCATTTTACAACCGAAAAATTAGAAAAACGATTTGGAAATTATAGACTTTTATTTAGATATTTACAAAATCGGCAAATTCGTTTTCTCTTACTGAAATCAAAAATAAATTTCGAATTTGTGATGACAATAATAACGATCTTCATGATCTTCCCACTGATGTGACTTGTTTCTCAGGAATCTTCGATACCGAATACTTGTCCGATTGTGTTGTAGATGATTCCATTAAAATTTATATTTCTGGTTATGGGTCCCATTCTGTTGCTAAAAAATTAAATTGCAATATATGTCGTTTATTAGTTGTGGAGGATAAAGGTAAAACTGTAGGCGATGTATATTTTGATCACTTACAAAGAGGGGGCCTTTCTGTCCCCACTGAAGAAGCGATAGCCTCATTTATTCATATGTATGCAATAATGGAAGCCATAATAAACGATGGCAATTTAGAATCTCAATTTTTGCAATCTGGAAATCATAAACATATTTTATGTAAATTAACATATATTAGCATTCAATCAGACATACATTATTTAGCATTTTCAGATACATGCGTTTGTGGTCGAGCTTACCAAAGTATTTGGTTTAAATTATTATCAATTTTTTCAAATATTTTATTAAACGATTATGTGAAAACTGTAAATAATAGTCAGTTGGAAACACATACAGACATCACTTCTAAAAATCGTAAATTAAAAACTTTTAATAGGAACTAGATGTTCAATGATTTTTTTTAATTTTATCTTTCTTAAAACATTAATTTTTATATATATTTAACTTATTCCTTTCAATATGTTTTAATACATTAACAGAGTTTTATTTACTTGCTTAGTATATTTTTATTATGAATACTATTTCACAAGATTCAAAGTTTTATTAGTTGTATTTCAAGAGAATTTCAAAGTATGTTTTGATATGTTTTGTTATTAATATTATTCAAAATTATTTATTATTATTTCAAAATGTAATACTTTATTTCTTTAAGAATACAAAAGTTATGTTTTTGTTATGTTCTATTTAAAAATATTAATTTATTTTAGAAAATGGGATGATATGGCTATTGGCGAACCACCCATTATAATAAAAAAAAAAGGTAACGCGCCATGGTAAATACCCCTAGGGTGGTGAGGAAATTTTTTACAATTATCATACTGTCCTCTAACACGATTTTATAATTAACTCCATAATTGTTCCTTTCAATAGCTAATTATGCTAACCTCTTTTCCACGGGCACTTAACCTGTTTGGCTTCGTACCAATAATTTTGCCTATTTCAGGTCTCTATTACCTTATACATACCTTTATCAATTTTTAAATCCTTCAGTTTGGTTCAAAGATGGTTTTAACTTGTTTCACACTTCTATTTTCTTGAAATCTCTGTAAATATTTCAAATATAATGCATCACAACACCAAACTATTCCGACAGTCCACAAAATATATACCACATTTATAAATATTAATATACTTCTGTATTACTTCTACTTACTATAGTTATGATATTCATATATTCCTTATACATAATTAATAAAAAATACTGTATATTAGTATAATTTTATATCGCAAAATAACGTTAATTATAATCCTGAACACAAAACTCCACTATTGAAAATAGGACTCCCGATCCGCACATGAGCGGTGTTGCCACGTTTCATAGCACGGCTAGTACTAGAGTCGGCTGTGACACTACATACATCAAAATCAACATTCATTTCAAATTACATTTATATTGGAAATTAAAAGTTGAGAATTTGAAATGAATATTGATATTGATATATATTGGAAATTAAAAATTTGACAAAATATATATATCAATATCAACATTCAAATTATATATATTAATTATAAATTTGAAATGAATGTTGATATTATACGATACATGCGTACAATATTATTTCGACAAAAATTTTTGTGCCAAAAAGACTCGGCTATAGCCATACTCAACTTATGGCAGGCAAACCTAACCTGAAAATTTTAAACAACACTCCGCTAAAAGATCAATAACACTTGTCACAAAACATTGTCGAAGTATTGTTTATAAAAAATAATCATCATTTAACATAAAAAATTGGTTCCATTGAATATTTTGTTTCTCCTATTATCATTGCATCGTTTTTCAAATTTCCATATTGTTATTTAAATATTATCTTCAAAAATATTTGAAGATCTCTGTTTGTTTGTTACTCAAAGTGGATTTATCACAATTTTTTGAAACCTTCACTGCAGCATACGCAAAAAAATGTACAAAGAATTCCAAGCAATTGTGCTTGCCGGTGGAGGAGGATCTCGTATGACGGAATTGACACAAGGACAACATAAATGTTTGCTTCCAATCGGAAATATACCTATGATTTGGTACCCCCTTCGCCTCTTGGAGCGTGCCGGTTTTAAAGAGGCTATTGTTGTCGTCTCTGAAAATACAGAGCATGACGTATCGTCATCGTTAAATAAATTAAACCTTAAAATTAAAACGGACATTGTCGCTGTAGAGGACGCAGAAGATCTTGGAACCGCAGATTCCATCAGACTGATACACGAGAAAATTATCACTGATTTCTTAGTGATCTCGTGCGATTTAATCACCAACATTGACATACGCGAAATTTTGGATCTATACAGGAAATACAATGCAAGCATTACAGCGTTAATGTTGCCCACACCTAAACTGCCAGAGGATTTCACAACACCAGGCCCCAAAAACAAACAGAAACCAGAGACTGATTTAATTGGCATCGACAATGAAACAGGACGTCTAATTTTTTTGGCCTCAGCCTCTGATTTCAAGAAAACTATTAATATTTCACAGACGCTCCTTAAAAAACACACAAATTTCACTATTCATTCGAAATTGATGGATGCTCATTTATACGTTATTAACAAATGGGTTTTGGATTTCTTGGTGCACAATAAGTAAGTAATATTTTTTAACCGAAGCTCTGAAAGTTCTGGACAAATTATTCTTATTCTTTTATTTGTAGAAATTTTAGTACACTGAAAGGAGAGCTTCTTCCACATATTGTTAGCAAACAATTGTCCAAACCAAAACAATGTAAGGATGACAAAAATACTTCGATAATAAAAGTGGATTTGAAAGAAGATATCTTCCGCTTTGCTGTGGAAAAACCATTAGACGATTTAATTAGGAAAATGTCAGCATATAATGATCACAGTACAGATTTAGAGGATGCATATCATGGTGACATAATTAGGTGTTATGCACACATTGTGGATGGAAAATTTGGGTTAAGAGCAAACACTATACAAATGTATCACTTTGCTAACGCCAAGGTAAACAAAATGTTTCTAGACTAATAATTCAGAATTAATAGAAGAAGTATTTTAGATATCAGATTGGTGGACTAATGACAATGACAAAGATTATGTACCGAGTATTTCAAACACGGCAACGATACATAGTACGCAAATACAAGATTGTCATGTAAACGACAATGCTATTATTAATGAGAAAACATCCCTTAAACAAAGTCACATTGGATCGAATGCAATCATTGAATCGAAAATTAGAATTTCACATAGCATTGTTATGGAAAATGTGACAATCAAGCAAAGGTAATTTAATTAATAATTAATCTTTGCACTTAAATATTCTAAATATTCTACATTGTTTGCAGCTGCGTAATAAATAATTGCATATTGTGTAATGGTTGCATCATCGAAGAAGGTTCAGAATTAAAGGACTGTGTGGTGGGTCCACAACATGTTGTGACCTCTGGAAGTCAACATGCTCGTGAAGTTCTTACAGATCCTGACAAACTCATAGAAATTTAATTATTCGCAATTACATTGGCTGCTTGGATAATGAAAAACAATTCTTTAGAATTAATTTTAATTCGAATTTCTTAAAATTCAACTTTGTATTACGAAGTAAAATTTTTGTATCATACAATCTTTTTATGTTTTTTTCAAATTGAGAACCATTATCATAATCTAGGTTTGGACAAGGAACGTACGAATTTGGAATGCAATTCATGGACTATATCGGTTATATTGGCTGCTCGAATGATAAAAAAAAATTTCTGGAAAAATAATAGACTTTTGGTCTTCAAAACCAAAATGTATGTAGTATCTGGCCAATTATAAAAAAAAAAGTTTGTCAATTTCTGGCATTATTACCAAACCGTGCACCGGGTACACATGAGAATAACTGCGCGATCTGGTAACATTGGGTTTGGACAAGAAACGTATGGTTTTGGAACGTAATTCGTGTTACGTTTCTTTCGAACAGTTCCTTCGTGCAAAATGGTGAGCGAAAATTTGATCCGTTAAAATCTACTTATTATAAAACAATCATTAAAATTTATTATACAAAAACTATAAAAATTGTTTTTTTAATTCCCATAGAAGTGATATATGGTTATAGTTATGGTCTGGAGATTAAAATAAATAGGTTGTTTACGTCATATGTTTGATAAAGGTTATGTTAGAAATGTTTGAATCGCGGAAAAATTGACTTGAAAATATCAATTGCTTGTGAAATATTTAATGTTATCGAATTCTAATGTTTACGAGTTTAAATTTGAATACAATGTGGAATTAAAGTTATACAATTTTGATATAATGTGGTTAAAATTATGAAATTTTAATATAACGTGAAATTGAAATTATAAAATTTAAATACAATGTAGAATTGAAAATGTGAAATTGTGATGTTTACAGACGAAGGGTACGTCGAGCTTTGGAAAACGGCGAAACAAGACTCACACATTGTGCAGACGATGTGGACGGAGCTCATACCACATCCAGAAATCACAATGTGCACAATGTGGGTATCCTGAGAAGAAGATGCGATCTTGTAAGTCTATTAAATATTAATTATTCTAATCACTTTTATACCAGAATTGGGCAAATTTTATTCATGAATGACAAATCTTAGATTGATTCGTAAACTTCTACAGTCAGTCACCAAAATCTTTGTACATACCCTAAAATAGTAATTTAAAAAAAAATAAATAACAATTTCGTATAATATTATATGTATTTGTTTTTATTTTGGGTTTTATGTCGTATCGACCTACAGATCATTAGCGACTATTAGCACCTGTTTCCTTCTTTTCTGTCCGGTCATATGCAGTGGTAAATGTTGACATCTTTTAGGTAGTTTAGAGTGTTTTCTTTGTGTTTCTTTGTTGTTAGAATTTCTGTCGATGTTATTTTATATTTTTGTCTTTGGGTGTTGTATCTTTTGCATGTGAATAGTAGGTGGTTGGTTGTAATGATTTTCATGCAGACAGTGCACATTGGTGGTTCTGTTTTCATAATTAGGTACTCATGTGTGAGTTTGCAATGACCAGTTCTAAGCCTGGCCATGAATATCCTGCCTTTCGTTCTCATATTGTTGCTAGGCATTATTTGGAAGAAATCTTGGATAACGTCGTGTGTTTTTATTTTCTTCGATGTGGTCCAATTTTTATTCCATGATTGTTGTTCGATAGGGCGCAATGCGACAATGAGGTTTTGGTGCGAGACTTGTCTACCGGTGTTATCTGTTGGAAGTGCTGTTACTTCTTTGGCGGCTGTGTCGGCTACCTCGTCTCCTTTGATGCCTTGGTGAGATGGAACCCAGGCTAGGGTTATTTGTTTGCCGTTATTGGTGAGGTCCGTATAGGTATATTGGATGTTTAGAATGATTTCATGTTTGGTTTCACGATTTATGTTTGCTATTACCATGAGTACACTCATTGAGTCGGTGAAAATGATGGAAGGTTGGACATTGTGGTTTCGTACGTGGTTAAGAGCTTCGAGAACTGCCCAGGCTTCTGCTGTAGAAGTGGATGAGGTTACTGGGAGGTGGAATTTTTTGGTCTTGGTGTTGCAGACGATGGCAACTCCTACTCCCTGGTCAGTCTTTGATGCGTCAGTGTATATCTTTTTGTGGTTTTGCTATTTGTTGCATAGTTGTTGGAAGTCATATCTGTGTTCTGTGCTATTTATTTGGTCTTTGGGAAGCTTTGCGAGGTCGACGTTGGTTTCTGATGGTTTTAGGGTCTAAGGAGCTGTTTTCCTGAATTACATGGAATAGTTGGTGTTGATATAATCACAGTGAAACTATCGTATTTGGCAGTTCTTCCATAGAATGGATTTGGAAACTTGGGTTTTTTAGCTTGTAGGTGGATATATCTGTTTGTAAATATGTTGTTGTATGAGAGATTATTTGGAGTGGAGGACATTTTGGCTGTGTATTTTAGGCTCAGGTATTTCCTTCTTTGTTCTAATGATGGTTCTTTTGATTCAAATAATATGCTATTTATTGGACTAGTCCTGTAGCTTCCAGTGGCTATTCTTAGAGCAGCGTTATGAATTGTGTCGATTGTTTACAGGGTATTGGGTTTAGCAGAGTTATAAACTATTAACCCATAGTCGAGTATGGATCTGATTAAAGCCTGGTAGGATGGTATGATGATCTCTTAGTCAGCTCCTCAAGTATGATTTGCCAAATATTATATTTATTTATTATTATGTATGATATTATTGATCGAACTACATAAAAATTGTTTTTTTTTTAAGAATATTTTATACAATGAGGAAAAACCGAAATATATATGTCACAAAATTGTTCGTACACTAAAATACGAAGGCAGTAAATCTAATAAATCTAGTAAATTTTTGAAACATACATACCTGGATTTCCCTGATAATGTCTTGTCTACGTTGTCATTACGTTGTGATTCAGTTGATAGATGTTTAAAATGCGGGAATTAATTGTCAAATTGTATAAGGTGAAGAAATCTCTACGTGAAATTGCTAACATTGTGGGCAGAAAACATTCTACTATTTAGTAGATAATAAAAAAATTCAAAAGAACTGGTAAACATAAAAAGAAAACACGTAGTGGTCGTGCTAAAATCCTAAGTAATAGAGACGTCAGATCTGTACTGCAAATTATTCGCCAAGAACCAAAAGTAAGTGTTCCAAAAATAGCCGCAGAAATAGAAAATGATTTTGGGAAAACAGTACACCCTGAAAATATTTGAAGAATCTTAAGAAAATCTGGATATCGTAGTCATGTGTCGTGGAAGAAACCCTTAGTCAGTGTCATCAACCGTTCTAAGAGAATTGAATTCACAAAAAAACATGAAAACGAGAATATACAATTTTGGGAAAGAGTATTATTCACTGACGAAAGTAAGTATAATATTTTTGGAGCGGATGGAAGAGGCAAAATATGGAGGAAAAGCAGCAGAGCATTTGATTTGCAAAACCTAATACCAACTGTATAGCATGGTGGTGGATCTGTTATGGTTTAGAGCTCAATGGCAGCCTCAGGAGTTGGGAGTTTAGTATTTATAGATTCTGTTATGGATCGATGGGTATATTTAGACATACTTAAAAGCCACTTGAAAAGTGATGCTGCAAAATTAAGACTAGAAAACAACTGGATTTCCCAACAAGACCAAGATCCTAAGCATACAGCTCATGTTATTCAGGAATGGATACCGTACAATGTCCCGAAACAGCTTTTTTCACCACCTCAATCATCAGATTTGAATGCTATAGAGCACGTATGGAATTATTTGGAACGCAAAATTAGGAAGCATAAGATAAATAAACAAAGCCTTAAAACTGTATTGGAAGAGAAATGGAAAAAAATTCCGTCTGATTTTACAACTGAATTAGTCCATTCTATGCCAAGAAGATTAAAAACAGTTTTAGAGGCAAAAGGAGGACAGGAGGACTAACTTCATATTTTAGTGTACAAACACTTTTGTGACATACATATTTCGCTTTTTTCTTATTGCATAAAATATTCTTAAAAAATAATACATTTTTATATAGGTTAATTAATAATATTCTACATATTAATAAATAAACATAATATTATATGAAATTGTTGTTTATTTTCTTCAAAATGACCATTTTAGGAGGTGTATGAAGACTTTCGTGACTGACTGTATGTTTTCTTTGTAAATTCATTAATAAATTGGAATTTTGTACTGAATTTTTTAAACCAATATTTAGGTGAGCTAGTTTGCTAGTGAATTTAACATTTTCATTCTAATTTAGGGCATTGTCCAATGATTTTTAAAAATTAATATTATATTAATCAGATAACTGGTCGGTGAAGGCCAAGAGGAGGAAGACAACTGGCACTGGCCGTATGCGTTATTTGAAGATCGTTCGGCGTAAATTCAAGTAAATATTCATAAATAACTACTATAATATATAATTACATGAAATGTTAATTTGCAAATTTAACATCTAAATATCTAAAAAATGACACATTTTCAAGAAAAATGTTAAACATAATAGTTTCAAAACACAAATTACAAATTTTTTATTTGCCAAACGTTTTTAAAATTATCTAAACTATTTCTATTCTATTTCTCAATTTCTTAATATTTTCTTGGTTTTAACTCGGATATTACAGACTAAATCTGTAGATTTTGTTGATCATTGGATCGATCCTTTTCTACTAGTCAAAAAGTGGAGGTGTTATCTTTTAATTATTAGAAAAAATAAAAAAGCTTTCGTTTCAAAAATTTGGAAAAATTTCTATTTCATAAAATATATTTTTAAAGCAGTCTAATAAATCTCGTTTTTCTCGTTCAATAAGAAAAAAAATATAGGTTTTTATTACACCGGAGTTTCGAAAATTCTGGATAAATAAAAAACAAATAAAATACTTGTATTTTCACCTGGAAACTTCACACTTTTCTATGAAACAAGTTGTTTTCGACATATTTAGACACAAAGTTTTCAAACGAACAGAATATTATAAGACTTAATTAATTTATAAATAAATTTTGTATCGTACAAAATACATTTTAAATTTAAAAAAAAAAAAAATTGATATATTTATTTCTCTATACAGGGTGTTCAGCCACCCGTGGGAAAAATTTTAATGGGAGATTATAGAGATCAAAATAAGACGAAAATCAAGAATATCAATTTCTTGACTGAGGTTTCGTTAAAAAGTTATTAACGTTTAAAGTTCCGCCCGGACTGAATTTTTTTCTAGAAAATGGGTAGGATTTCGGGGGTAGGTCTATTCACCAAAAATTATTGTAATTTACCCCCGTAACCGAAAATAATTTTTCCAAAACGATTTGAAATTTTGTAATTTTGTCGAAAAATATCACGCTTTCTCGAATTTTTTTCTCAAAAATGGGTGGGATTTCAGGGGTATGTGTATTCACCAAAAATTATTGTAATTTACCCCCGTAACCGAAAATAATTTTTCCAGAATGATTTGAAATTTTTTAATTTTGTCGAAAAATATCACACTTTCTCGAATTTTTTTCTCAAAAAATGGGTAGGATTTCAGGGGTATGTGTATTCACCAAAAATTATTGTAATTTACCCCCGTAACCAAAAATAATTTTTTCAGAATGATTTGAAAATTTTTAATTTAATCTTTTAATAACTTTTTAACGAAGCCTCAATCAAGAAATTGATATTTGTGATTTTCGTCTTATTTTGGCCTCTAGAATCTACCATTAAAATTTTTCCCAGGTGTGGCCGAATACCTCGTATAATTGTTAATTTTTAACGATTTAGTAATCAAACGATAAATTAAATTAAAAGTTGTTTATATTATATAGTTTAATTTAATTTTATTTGTTTCAGGAATGGATTCAGGGAAGGTTTGCCAAAACCAAAGACTGTCCCAACTAAATAATCGTGTTGTTTAATAAGGTTTTGACTACTAATAAATAATAGAAAATTTGAGATTCTGTACTGTTTCTTTTAAAACACTCCTGTTATAATTAATTCTCAACAGAATTTTAGAATTACCTGCGTTAGATAAGAAGAATATTTTCACCCAAGTAACAAGGGGAAGTTGAGATCACCAATTTGATAATCCTCGTAATCATAATCAAAGGTTCCTACAGTTGCAACTTTACTGCCATAGTTGCGTCGAATTAGCACTTTAATGTTACGAGACCAACATTTTCAATTAAGCTTGCAGTTAGCTTGTAGTAAACAACGATTATGCGTGCGTGGAGGTTCACTGATCGCATTGTTAGCATAATTTCCAGGTAAAGAACGAAAGAGATAATGCACAAACAAGTGGAAAGCGTTCCATAGTGGGGATTCCTACCCACTCCACAATCCCAACGCTATAATTAACGCAGTTTCATCAATTTCGTAGCAGTAAACTCGCGGATTTATAGCGCAACATGACAACGTGTATTTGTTTGTAAACTCTGCTTGAAAAACAGCCTAATAGTTAGTAAAAAACGGTATGTTAGGTCGTGTTCAGCCAAGGTTCCGTCTTCACAAACATCAAAAAATCAAGAATAATCGCATGATCATATAGTACTAAAAAGTACACAGAACAGTGAAAATTTTCAATCGCCGACTTTCGAACAAATTAAGAAGAAAGATTCGGACGTGAAAAATATTGTAAGACGAAATTGAGAGTTCGTTTTGCAAATGACCGCGTGGCGGAAGTTATTTGGTACGTTTAATAGTCGAAAACAAAGTTAAAAGCAAAACTTTGCTTATACTTGATCCGAAAATGTTAAATTTCGTCGCTTCTGCGAGTCTTTGAACTCTGCAGAGGTAAATATTTTACGATTTCTGCGAATTATAAACGATTGAAACAGTTTTTTATAATTTACAAGACCCAGCTTTGCTCTTAAAGCATTCAGTTTGTTTAGAAAATCATCTTTTAAACGCATTTCAAATTATTAAAAAAAGCTATTTTTATGAAGTCGAAAAATCATTAAAATTTAAAAAGTCAAATTTTTAAAAATAATATTAATTTATACAAAACTTCCAGTTGGAAATTTTTAATTTCCACAATTTCATTCTTTTAAACCATCGTTGGAATAATATTTTTACCCCAATCAATTAGGCAAATACCTGTTTGTAACGAACACAGTGAGTTGTGGTCTGATGATGGCAACCGCAGACCTAATTCAACAACGCAGTGAATTTTGGAAGAGGAATAACAATCTCTTGCCAGATGGAACTCGAATAATTGCAGCGTCTCTGGAAGACGATACAGAAAGCACAGAAATGTACGTGCACGATTATGTGCGAACTAAAAATATGACAACGGTGGGTTTGGTTCAAGGTCCTTTCCACCATTGGTTCTACATTTTTTTGGATAAAGTATTGCCTGGAAGAAACGCGTTGTCAGTGATTAAAAAGACATGCTTAGACCAAACCATAGCAAGTCCCACATGTTTGGGAATATTTTTCGTAGGTCTTGGAATACTTGAACATCGAAAGATCGAGGAGATCTGCGAGGAATTGGAAGTGAAACTCTACGACACATGGAAAGTAAGTTAATTCTTTTGGAAATACTTATTCTGTTACAAATTCAAGCTTTTATTTTATAACAAAGTCTCGAAAGTCTTGGGAATCCCATTTGGTTCTAATATTTGAAGTCCAGTTCTAATGCTAAGTTTACGAGAAGATTCAATACTTGAAAGAACTGATAAACATTATTTGCAATCAGTATGTCGAATTTGATTGACATAAGATAGAAAAATGTATCTGAATTGAAAGAAAAATTGTATTTTAACGCAATTGTCGATATAATAAATTTCAGATTTCATATATGAAGTTACGGGACTCATAAATATTATTTCTGAACAATTTGTGCTGAATCTGATCAATATAAAATAAGAATATGAATCTTAAAATTGCATTCTAATGTAAATAAGTTTCAATAAAAATATAAGCAATATTTTAATTGTGAACCTAGCGTTAAAAAGTTTGTAAATAATAGAAACTAATGTTTTTTTAAGATCGACTGCTGTTTCTGGCCTCCCATGCAGTGTGTGAATTTCTTTTTCATACCTTTTCGCTACCGTGTGCTGTATACAAACTTCATGACAATGATCTACGACATTTTCTTATCCTACATGAAATACGTAAGTAAATGATTCGAAACCATTGAATTGTCAAGGAATTCAAATTTAGTTTAAGACTGGAGCAACGAAACTTAAATTATAAGTCTTAAACAGTATTTTCACAAAAAAGAAAGAGTAATCTTCAAATTAAATTTGCAATATTGTTTACTAATGGAAGAATCCTAAAATTTGCACAATTTTAACACTATTTAAATTACAAATAAATTTTCAATAAATTTTAAATTCAATTGTCTTTGTTAATATATGACCAAAAATTGTGACTTGGAATAACTAAAAGTTTCATTAGAAATAAATAACAAATATTCTCTAATTCTCAAGTTCAACCACCAATCTATTATTAAATATTACTAATCATTTTTTTAGGATGCCGAATACGAATGACGAAGAGATCTCTGAATATCTATCCTGATCGAAACAGATCGTACAAAATTATTCTTTGCTCATTCAAGAAATCCACAACGCTAAACGTGCAACTATAAGTTTGTAAATTTTCAAGATATTTGATAAATAAATTACAATGTTACAAAACAAACTTAGTTTGAAGACGAAGAAATCTCTGAATATCTATCCTGATCGAAACAGATCGTACAAAATTATTCTTTGCTCATTTACGAAATTCACAATGCTAAACATGCAATGATAAGTTTGTAAATTTAAAAGATATTTGACAAATAAATTACAATGTTTCGAAGCAAACTTAGTTTCTAGAAAAGAAAGAAAGTTACACAATCCCGTTATCGGTGTTTCAGAACGATTGGTATATCATTTATAGTTCGACGCGACTAGATAACGTTAATCACGTTAATTTCTGCATTCGATTGATAAGGATTCAGATAAAAGAAAAATAAATAAGTATTATATAGTGGCGTCGAAAAAGGTTTCGAAACTTTTCAATCTGCTGAATCCCGAATGATCCTTATCAATATTTTATTTGCGTTAAATGGCATGCAGTATATAACTTGTCTGATGCATCTTGATGGAATTTCTGTTCGTTATCAAGAGGATGTTGTTTATTAGGCTTTTGTTTGGCGTTCGGCGACAACGGGATTACAAAGTCTTCTAAGCCGACAGTCGCCAGTTAACAAACAATGATCATTCCAATGTAAATACAAACAATAAACCGACCGAAATAATAAACAAAAGCGCCACGATACTTGATACACTCTTAAATCATGTTTTATAGAAACTTGTGTTACTACAGAAATTAGATTTATTGTTTGTACATAATCTACAGTTTGTCGAATTCCATTATAATCTAGCCACTGTGATCATTAAAGGCAATTTAATATTTAATATTTAATCAAATTTTGTTCCTTCTGCAATCCATTTATATATATTGAAACTGAATTGTCAAAATTGTTGTTTACGTAATAACGGATCAGAAACGACTAATTGCACAATTTTGAACGAGAATTCTGTGTATTGAAAGCGTATGAAAAATCAACTGGAATTAAAATATAATTGATTATAGCTTTATCAATCATGTTAGCTTTCTTTGACATATACATATAGTATTCATTTTGTGTGAAGTATATCATGTGCAGAGTTTCAAAACTGTTATACTGGATTTGGTTATTAAAACAGATATGAAAACTGAAATGATGCAATAACTGTTATGAACAAAGAAGATTCTATCATATCTCGATTTCAATTCCAGTTTCAGTTTTACATTTAAAGGATATAACCCAAACCTAGATACTTTTAATAGTATTTGAAGATGACCTATATTTAATAAGCACAAAATACAAAGCTTTGTTCAATATTTTAGCATTAATGACATCGGATCAGTTTTGATCAAATAGTTGATCTATTTTGAGGAAAATAGATTTTCTATGAATGAAATTCGATTGAAAAGATTACAAAAATAATAGCTTCGAACTGTTATAAATATAACAATTCGAAAATAATTTTTCCAGAACGATTTGAAATTTTTTAATTTTGTCGAAAAATATCACACCTTCTCGAATTTTTTTCACGAGAATGGATAGAATTTTGGGTATATCTATTCGCCAAAAATTATTGTAATTGACCCCCGCAAACGAAAATAATTTTTCCAGAACGATTTGAAATTTTTGTTTTCGTCGAAAAATTTCACACCTTCTCGAATTTTTTTCTAGGAAGTAGGTAGGATTTCGGGGGTATGCCTATTGACAAAAAATGATTGTAGTTGACCCCTGCGGCCAAAAATATTTTTTTTAGAACGATCTGAAATTTTTTTTTCGCCGAAAAAATTAGGCACCTAAATCGGGGAAAACCCCCTGTCAATTTTTCTTAAAAATTTGTTTTTCATTTTTAATAAATTTGCTTGACGCTCTACAGAAAAGTTGTCTAATACTTTTTTGTAGGTGTCCATGAGCTCTGCTTCAGAAAAAACTTTCATTGAGATATATTTACTATTGTAGGTGTTATGGTCGTTTGAAAATTGGACCAGTTTTAAGGGGTTTTTCTCACTTTACGGTGTTAAGGAACAATTTTTTCAATATTGTTAGAATTTCTACATATTCTCCACTAAAATACGCGTTGTTTGCTTTTTGAAAAATAAAAATCCTCTAATCCGTTCAGGAGTTATGACATTTTAAAGATTTGCAACAAGGAAGCATTTCTGGCCCCACATTAGATTTTCGATAAAGAATTTTTTTCTCGAAAGTGGGTAGGATCTCAGGGTATGTCTATTCACCAAAAATGCTTGTAATTGACCCGTGTAACTAAATATAATTTTTTTATAGTGATTTGAAATTTTTTAATTTTGTCTAAAAATTTTAGTACCTACTCGAATTTTTTTCTCAAAAATGGGTTGGATTTCAGAGGTATGTCTGTTCACCAAAAATGATTCTAATTGAGCCCAGCACCCAAAAATAATTTTTTCAGAAAGATATGAAATTTTTTAATAACTTTTTAACGAAGCTTCAATCAAGTAATTGATATTCTTGATTTTCGTCTTATTTTGGCCTCTAGAATCTCCCATTAAAGTTGTTCCCAGGGGTTGCCAAACACCCTGTATAACAATGATCTATATTTACTTATAAATGTTCTAAAAATATTTAAAAAATATTTTAATCTTGAATATGTATAAAAATAATTTTTCAGCGACTTTTGCGTAAGAGTATTTTCTTATCTCCACATCATTTGAAAATAATTTCAAAATAATTAACGATACACATTGTTAAACTATTGTCAATGTATAATAATAAAATTTGTAATTATTTTTTATGTGATACACCTCCACAAAAAATCTAAAAAAATTATATATTTATAACGGTAACAAGCCATTAAAATTGTAACAATACGAACATGATCACATAAAAAAATTAAGGTAAAAATATAAGCAAATGTCGGTTTTTGATTTTTTAATAATCATAACAATACACTAACACTGTAAAAATATAAACGTGGTCATTTAATAATTTCTATTAAAAAAGAATATTTTTAAACTTTTCGAATTTTTTAAAAATCCATCTTGAAGTGAAAAGTTCTAAAAAAATTTACAAACACGTACGTCGTAGAGCAAAATACCCCCAATTTTTTTCAAAATCTTTGATACAATACAACAAAAGATATACAGCTTAAACTGAAAATTGCGTTACGCTCTGTAACTACCCTCCCAGTAAGGGTACCGGGTTGATACTTGACACAAATGGTTTTCTTTGAACGGTCTATTAACTTATATGCTTACTGATCAATTTAACTTAAGGGCACTTTTGACCATCTCATCCGGCTATACCCTTTAAAAATCATTCTGAATAGATATAGAATCAATATAGAATTGATATAAAGTAGATACCAGAACCGTAACTAATATAGAACTTAAATAATATCTATATTAAAACCCATAACCATAACTGAAACTAATTCATGAAAACTTTTCATGAATTTTGATTCTCCATAACAGTTCTAGAAAGTAAAAGTTCCATTAAACAGTTTTTATCAGAACCAACATATAACAGTTCGAAGCTATTATTTTTTTAATCTTTTCAATTGAATTCCATTCATAGAAAATTTATTTTCCTCAAAATAGATCAACTATTTGATTAAAAATGATCCGATGTCATTAATGCTAAAATATTGAACGAAGCTTTGTATTTTGTGCTTATTAACGCGTGGCCCACCGGTGGGTCACACTCGACTTTCCCATCGGGCGGCGTGAACCACTGGTGGGTCACGCACGACTGTCCCATCGAGCGGTGTGCATCACCGGTGGGTCACGCTTGAACATTCGATCAGACGCTGCGTACCATTAAAAATTTAGTTTATTTAATAATTATGAAGAATTATCATTCTATTGAAAATGTAAATAATGTGAATTGAATGTATATTATTTGAAGAAAGTAGGATTTATTTTATTCTATCTAAACATCGTAAACATAAATTAAAAAACAAAAATTTGGTCGTAGACACATAATAATGCATAGTCCTCCTAAACTTCTTAAAATCCTAAACTTAGCGTAATTATTTACTTGTACCTATGCAAATTTTGAAAACATTCTAAACAGAGTGTTGGCTTGTCCTCACACTGGTTGCAATACGTCGTTACTTTTTTGTCTTTCTTCATGGCACACTGTCTACCATTTCCTTTACATAAACATTTGTAACATTCTTTGCATCTTTGCGTTCTTTTTCTTGAAAGCCCGGGCTACACAACTTTCAATGTAAACGCATGCACTGTGTTACTGAACGGATAGTTGAGCCAACTGAATCACAAACAATACTGACCCGTCCGATGAAGCAGAGCATTTGTTTAAGCTACGCCTCGCAGCGAAAAGTATAAAAATCAGCCCATGGCGTGAACGTGTTAAATATAGATTATCTTCAAATACTATTAAAAATATCTAGATTCTTCTTAGAAGTAAATAGTAAACAAAAGGGAGAAAATACAACCTTTATGTAAGCAATAAAAATTTTATAGACATTTCATCTTATTCATGGTTAAATTGTTTACGAAACGGTGGAAGATCCAAAACCCGAGCAGTACCAAGGAGTATTAATCCTGAAAACATTTATATTTAAAACTTTCCATTTGAAAATAATTTCGAATACCATGTCACATATAGAATAAGCATAATTTTAAGTTAATTGGAATATTAACTAAATTTTCAAGAGTAAATTGGTTTTAGGTTAGATCAATTAATCAAATGATTATGATGCGTTTATAATAAGCATAATTTTAAGTTAATTGGAATATTAACTAAATTTTCAAGACTAAATTGGTTTTAGGTTAGATCAATTAATCAAATGGTTATGATGCGTTTATCTTATATAAATATATAAATTGGAAGGAAAAAATCAATTTACCGCTTCCAATCGAGTACATAATAGATTTTCCAATATATCCCTGAAATTTCTTCGAGTGATAAGAAACATAGAAGCCAGAACCAATCAGACCACAACCACTAAAAATTCTGCATCCTAAACAATCTCGATTTCGATTATTAATCATGCTGTTCACTGTACCCGTCATTTCTTTCATTATCACTTTACGAAACTATAATACAATATTTACGCGATTTATATAAAGAAACGTTGGAATGGTAAAATTTACGATCTTTTCTAGATTAAATTCAAACCGCCATGTTTGTTTACACGAATCGAGTTCAAGACTCGAAATCGATCAATTTTGATCAAATTAAAAATTTGTTCACAAAAAAACAAAATTTTTAAATTACTTATTACTCAATAAGGAAATATTTTCAATAAGCTATCACTTAAGTTATTATGCTCTTTAACGTGTATAATATTCTTTCAGAAGCATGAAATCTTTGTGCTGTCTGTTTTATTGGTCGTTCGGTTTGTTTGATATTGGCGATCTAACCTCACTTAAATCCCGTCACTTTTTTCCTTTATTCCTATTCTTTCTTGTGCTTGAATATTTTTACCTTCGTTTTCCTTAAATCTCCTTACATACTTTCAATCTGATACTGTTTCTTTCCTCCTTTTCACAATTTCAACTCTTTATAATTCAGATTCTGTATTACCGACGCCTACTTTCTATTTTACTTATAAATAAACGAACAGGAAAATACTATAACCTCGCATAATCAATTAGACAAATTGAAACATTTTCTATCTTTTATAGTTCAGGTTCTGTATTACCGACACATACTTTTTATTTTACTTTATAGATTTTTAAATCTTTCTTTTATAAACCTTTGATACATTTCCCAAAAATTTGAAGGGCTATAAAAGAAAAATTTAAATTTGTATACTTATGTAATTATAACATTGTTGATTGCTTTATTCAAATGTAATGAAATATACAAAGTACGAGTTGGTCAATTTTTCCCATAATCCTGATAATCTGCTTTCGAATTAAAAATAATAAAATTAAATAAATAAAATTTTGTGAAAAGTTTGTAAATTCCCAGTTTCTTCTTGCTATTTACTCAATAAGTTTCTTCGCTTTGAAAAAGCGTCTCAGATAGAAGACCTGCCAAGTAGAAAGCACCAACAGCCAACACGTGGAAAATATACTGAAATGCAACACTCGAGTGTTTGTTGTCTCTGAAAATTTTAAAAAGTCACCACTTCCGTTTTGAATAATAAAAAATAATACAATTGTAGCTTCTTACCGTTGGTGTCTCTCATTTCTTCTTCGTTCTTTTGCATTCGAGCAAAATCTTTAAAAATTGCTTCAGATAAGTCTTCCAAACGTTTCAATTCCACTTCCGAAGGTTTCAATTTGGCTGCTTCGCCTATCTGTTAGAAAAGTCAGTCATTTAATTGCTTTGATGGTCAAAGGGTATAGCGAATAAGGGGATCAAATGTGCCCTTGAACCAAATTTAACACACGATGGAACCATCGATAGAGCATCAGAATCAAACATTTTGTGCCAAGTTTCTGTGCCAAAGGGTAGTTATAGTTTTTCGCATGTAATCGAGTACGAAAATTACGTAAAAAATCTGGTGCATTGTGGTTATCGAGATACGTGTTCAAGAATTATTTTCGATTTTACAATTCCAAATTCTAGGCATGAAAAATTAAAAACGCAAAAAAACGCGGGAAAATATAGATTTCATATTGAAGCTTTAAAGATAGTAGATTTATATAATTACTGTAAATGCGTATTGTCATTGGTTATGTCCCTGAATTTTTTCAGACTTTTCGGCAGGGTGCGCCGTAGTATCAAAAATCAAAAACCGATTTTTTCGGTGTTTTTTGCGTAAAAAAGCAACTTATACTTTCAATTTTTGTATTCCCCTTAATAGATAACTATATTCTATGGTTTTAAACATTTCTATGTTGAGTAGAACGGTATATAGAATAGAAAAATAAAAATAAGTCACCAAATTAAAGGTGCTACGAGCTGCAAGAGCTGCGATAGTGCAGTGAGTAAGATGCTTGACAGTTTGGATCAACGGACTGATCTACAAATTACATAAAAGGCAGTTCCCCAAAAACCTTACACTACTCATTACAGACATGATAACGAACAAAACATTCTGCACCTTGGATGGCACCCACTCTCAAACAAACAATTCAGCATACGCGAAGGCCTACAACAGGGAAACGTCAATTCCCCCATACTATTTTATATATACACTAGCGAAGTGATCAACCTATTTGACCTAAATTCGGGAAACAATACAGCAGCAATAGCCTTCGCCGACGATATCAAAATATATGTAGCAGGAACTCGACTGCAAACAATTCAAACACAATTAGAAGAACTCGTAGAAAAAATAAACAGTTTGATGACAATGTGGAACCTAAAATTAAACCCGGCAAAATGCGAGACCATCCTGCATAGAAAACCACTCCGCTACCTCTCTAAACCAAAGAAAAATGGTTACAAAGAACTCGCCATCTCTACAACAGTGCCCGGAACTACCACCAAATCTACAATACCACATAAGCAATATGTTAAATACCTTGGATACCATATTGACTACTTACTACATGGCAATACACACCACAGAAAACAAATATCAAAAGCACTCGACGCCTACAGAGCGAACAGCACCATATTTCACAACAAGCACCTAACCCCGAAAACGAAAACAATCCTATACATGCTGTTGATAAGACTAATCCTAGCTTATGCAGCTCCCATATGGTGAAACACCAACACAACAGTAATGGAAGCCTTCAGGAAATTTGAGAGACGATGTTTAAGGGCATGCCTCAACCGCTACAGATCAGCCCACTCCAACTGTAGACATTATGTGAGCAATGCAGCCCTCTACAATGAAGCCAAAGTCCCATGCTTCGACTGCTTCACACTAAAATTAACCAGATTACTTCAGTAAGTTTCCAAGAATAGACAACCCAATCATCAAAAGCCTCGCAATAGTTAACGAACACACCACGCACGACCAGAATCAAACAGGATACCTACCACTCGAAACCTTCATTTACTTTGACAAAATCGGCATAACACAAAATCAAGACAATATACCCGCCCTGTACCATTGGAAAAGGAACAAAGCAAACAAGCGCATCACGATGACTCCCACAGACTACATAAATAACAGAAACAAAAATACTGGTGGCTAACTGACCAGGACACCACAATACAAGACGTTAAGGGTAGGCTAACAACAGCCCAAAATAGAGCATAAACACTCCGAGATATAAACCATAGAGGAGTGAAAAAGCCCAGATTAGGATTTAATAAAAAATGTACATATGTAAATAGCCCTAGTTATAAGTAGAATAAGTCTCTAAATAAGTATTAGTCAGTAAGCACCAGCAGCAATAGAGAACCCAGTGGTTTTGTTATAAACATACATACTGCCCCAAAGAAATAAGGTAACAAGAAAAACCCCCTTGCTACCAAGATATAGTCAGATAAACCATTCCCATAGCACTGGGACACAAGCCTACCACCAGACCAATAACGAAAGGTTGGTTTTTTTTCGATGTAGCCCCGGTCGCCAGACGTCAAACCTATAACCAAACTATATGTATAAAACCAAGAAAAAAAATAAAACACATCTTTTTTTTATTTGATTAATTATATACTTTTTCAATTTTCCACCATATGACAATGAAGATTGAAAAAATATATAATTAACAAAATAAAAAAAAGATGTGCTTTAAACGGGGCGTGAACCGGAGTCAAAAAGTTTGCAGCGTATCCACAGTCAGGCATCTTATTCACTGCACCATCGAAGCTCTTGTAAATACTGCTGATACTTCTGAATATAACGCGCGTGGCACCTTTAATTTGGTGACTTATTTTTGTTTTTCTATTCTATATATCGTTCTACTAAACATAGAATTGTTTAAAACCATAGAATATAGTCAAGTTGCTTTTTTACGCTAAAAACGCCGAAAAAATCGGTTTTTGATTTTTGCTACTACTAAAAAATTTGAAAAAATTCAGAGACATAACCAATGATAATACGTATTTACAGTAATTATATAAGTCTAGTGTCTTGAAAGCTTCAATACGAAATCGGTATTTTTTCACGCCTTGAATTTGGAAGTGAAAAATCGAAAATAATTCTTGAACACGTATCTCGATAACCACAATGCACCAGATTTTTTTCGTAATTTTCGAACTCGATTAAAATACGAAAAACGGGCACAAATTCGCTAATCCGGATTTTCCCTATAACTACCCTTCCGAACAAGATAGAGGGTTGAAATTTGGCACAGAATGTTTGATTCTGATGCTCTATCGATGGATGCATTATATGTTAAATTTGGTCCAAGGGCACATTTGACCCCCTTATCCGGCTATACCCTTTCAAATCAATAAAAATTCAATTAGTCACTTTATAAATAAAAACACAAATAAGAAACTTGAATGTTAGAAATACTCTCTTGTTGCAAAATTGAATACTAACTGCAAATAATTAAAGTGAAAGCAAAATTCTATGATAATAAATCAATCAAGGATATTCTCAAAGTCCACCAATTTACTTTTCATCCATTTCTAATAAAATTACATTGTGAATGAAACATTATCGTAGATACAGTTTGTAATTATTTAAATTTCTGGAAACTTTTAGAATACCCTGGCAAACTAGCTTGTACTAAAACTCATGCCGGTGACATTTAAATAAACCAAGTTCTCTACATTACCAACTGTAACACCCATACAAGCCATATATAGAACAAAGAAAAGAGATGAAATATTGTGAGAAAATGTTTTAAAGTTGTTTCGGCTGGTCAGACATTTAACAAAAAATTTGTTTAGAAGTATAATTTAGCATTGATAAAAGGTTTTAAATATGTAGTTGCTAAAATCATAGAAGAAACTTACTCCTTCATAGCTCTTTGCCTCGATACCTCGCTTTGTAATTAAATAAATCTCTTGTTTGTTCTCTTTTATCGCTGAAAAAAGTGTTTGTTCGTTAAAATCATCATCTTATCATTTTTTTTTTCAAAGCATGTTTTGTACGTACTACCAGAGAAGGATGGTTGCAAGGCGTGGGCCATGAAGCAAATCTCGAACGTGTCATACACTTCGGTGACAAATGTAAATTTTAGCATTTTTCCATGAGGTATGTCGTCCTTTTTATGTAGAATATGTCCCTTGGAGTCCCGTATCTATCACACCGAAGCAATACATTTCATAATGCTAACGAAAACTAATAATATGCGAATTTGATCGATTTAGGGAAGCAACATTACTTTAAAATTATCAATTATATTTCGTAACGATCAAACGCAAAAGATAACATATGTAAGACGAGGTTAAACGAATATAACCTCAAAATATCGTAACACGATCGTTGTTTCGAATTGAGTTATAAGTATTAAAAAACTTACGACATATTCGGTTTTAACGGACGGTGTGACGGAAACTTCGTATTCTCCAGCTACCAGAACGTTCGCCTGAACTTCTTCTTTTAAACATTTTAACGAATTAGGCTCCAGATAGAACCTTATGCAATGTACGTACGCGATTAACGTTGCGAAAATAAATAATATTCTCTGCATTTCGAGGAGGTTCATCGGAATACCACGGTTGAATAATTTCCCAGCGGAAACTGTCAAGATTGGTAGACATTAACGACAAACCGTCAACATATCGATGAGTTGGCAGCCATTAAATATTTTGGGTGGATCACGTGACGCGTCGAATAAAAAGAAAAGTTAATGCAACACGTGTAACTACGTATAACCAGTATATATTTAAATTTCTAAATAATTAAGTAAAATTGTATATCTATGACTCGTAATTGCATGTATTTTATACTATTTTCCAATATTTTTTTATTTTATAATATTCCGTGAGGATAGAAATTAAAGAAAACTACGCGATTGAACGCAGGAGCCAATCAGTGATAAATTATGGCTTCTATAGTTTATGAATGCAATATGATTTATATATATATGTACGAATAAATGAATCATTGTTATAAAATTTATTACAATTGAATACTTTTATTATTACGCTATAATTCGATAAAATATTGTTACGCTACAGAGATGCCAGAAAAGCACCGCCGGGTGCACACGCCACATGCCAGATACGCGTACGTGAGCTCGTGGAGTTTCGGAAAGTCGACAAAGACAAACTGACGCATGCCCTCTTTCTCGATTCTCCGAAGCTGCCCGAAGTAATTTCGGATCGCCTCGTGGGAGTCGAGAGAGAAAGGCTCACATTTGCCTTCTCGCTCTAAACAACTGAAATCCGACCTATGGTCAACGGCATACGATTTGGATTCTCGAGCCGAGATTCTCGACTGCCCAGGCATTTTTACTTTCCGACCTATGTAGGCGCACATAAGCAAAGTACCCATAATGAAAAAAAAATTTTGTAAAATTTATTTTACGGAAATACACGTTTTAAGACCTCCTGATCATATTTTAATTATTGAAAAAAAAGACATTTTTTTTTATTCCCATGTATGAGCACACATATGTATATTATTAATACGATTTTTGAAAATCAAAATACTTTAAGATTGAAAATTAATAAATTAAAATGAGATTCCACTCTTTACCAGTATTGTGCACGCTGTGGTATTTTTCAATAAGAAGAGTTCTTACTTTTATAACATAAACAAAACAGTAGAATTAATAATTGCAGAAATTAATTAATAATGATTTTCCTCGATTGTTTTGAAATAACCGTATCAATTGGTTATGACGAACTAAATAGAACTAACTAGAAACAAAGGAAAAGTGATCCCGTTTGCCAGTTTAATACAAAGTATGGGTTTTATCTTAAATTTTAAAAGCACATAGTCGAATATTTTTAAAGGTACAAAACATAGCGTTTCATTGTAGAACAGTAACATAAATTAGCAGGTAATGTCATAAAACTATTTTTCCCAGCTATATCCCTTTTTACCTGTAGCATAAGGTAAAAAGTACGAGCTACAAGGTACGACTATCCGAAAATCGTTCACATTTTATCAATGTAAATGAAGCGGCCTTTCCATCAGAGTTAAATACAAAATTTTGTAATTTCTGTGAAAACAAAACTTTCAGTAAATGTACGTGGTGTTTGAAATTTTTATGTTTTGACTGTTTTTGTGAAAAGTACCATCCAGATTCATGTACTTCGTACATTGAAAATAACATATGTTAAATGTAATCGGTTAAATATAACTTTAAAAAAAAATATTCGAAGGTCAGACAAAAATATAATGTCACATTTAGTGTACGATTAAAATATGATTGAAAAAATAAAAGAAAAGTATTTGTTTTGGCAGGGTTTGAACCTGCAGAGCAGAAGAAGCTCGGAACTTGCAGGCAAATACCTTGTCATTCACGCCACGCTGATTGTTGAACGTATTTCTATTTTTGAAGATAAGTACCTGTAATAACTTTAATAATATCTCAAAGTAAAACCTAACCCAAAACCTGGTACCATTCCAACTTTTCCTTGTTAGAAACGAGTTTTCAATTTGTCTTAGCGAAAATCGCAATCACATTTTGCACATTATTCTAAAACATTTGTGGTATTCGTTTTCAATGCGATTTAAGTAAGCATGTAATGTATAAGATTTCATTTAATGTTTTCTTTTCTAGAGAAGATAGAGAAAAAGTTTATATAATTTTTTTTATATAAAATTTAATTCGTCCTAAGATTTATATGAAACATTTAAAAGATTTTTTATACATTATGCCTATATATCGGAACAACTATGAAACAAGAGGTATAATCTGTAAGGAGTGTATGCGTGGCTAGGAGAACCGTTATCGTTTGCGTCGATAGGAGTGTTTAGTCTAAGCTAGAGTAGGTATCGAGTGAGGTGTTTAGGTTTAAGCTGAAATATGTTTTAGAAACTGCGTCTCGAACGTGCGTTTTGTTTAGATCATTATTATAAGATAGGAATAAGGAAGGGTCGACTTTGACTGCAGGAACGTCACTCTGTATCGAACGTTAGTCGAGAGCAATCATAGTTTTACGTTTATGATCTTTTACGTTTACGTTTTATGTCTTTCTTTTATGTTCTTTATGTTAAATAGTTAGTAAATATTAAATAATATAATTACATCGTTACGTTTAGTGTTCACGTATTTGAATCCGTCCACACGCCTTTGAAATGAGAACATAAAACTTAAATGTAAAGTTTCATTTAAATTCATTCAGCTATTTATATTCAATCGTATTAATAATATACATATGTGTGCTCATACATGGGAATAAAAAAAAATGTCTTTTTTTTCAATAATTAAAATATGATCAGGAGGTCTTAAAACGTGTATTTCCGTAAAATAAATTTTACAAAATTTTTTTTTCATTATGGGTACTTTGCTTATGTGCGCCTACATAGGTCGGAAAGTAAAAATGCCTGGGCAGTCGAGAATCTCGGCTCGAGAATCCAAATCGTATGCCGTTGACGGGAGGTCGGATTTCAGTTGTTTAGAGCGAGAAGGCAAATGTGAGCCTTTCTCTCTCGACTCCCACGAGGCGATCCGAAATTACTTCGGGCAGCTTCGGAGAATCGAGAAAGAGGGCATGCGTCAGTTTGCCTTTGTCGACTTTCCGAAACTCCACGAGCTCACGTATGCGTATCTGGCATGTGGCGTGTGCACCCAGCGGTGCTTTTCTGGCATCTCTGCGTTAGATCGAGCTACACAAAGTCGAGCGGGCTCCCGAGACATTCGAACTCTCGGGCGGCTCGACCGATCGACTCGACGCTACGGTTCGATTGTTTGTTGGGCATTTGATAGTAATAAAAGCATATGAAACTGTTTTTTAACATAAATGTATTAATACTTTATTTTAAGTTTTCATGTAAGAAGCATAGTCCTTGTACATTTACTGGCAGCAATCGTGCTCGTGTTTGCATTACTATGTTTCCGGCAGTAGAAAATAAGCGTTCACTTTTTACTTGTGTTGCTGGTACAGCAAGACAATCTTTAGCTGCTCGAGACAGTATTGGAAATCGTGTCTGATTTGATTTCCACCGGTCTATAATATTTGTTTTCCGCGGTACTAAATTTTCAGCGAAATATGTTTGTATTTCTCTATTTTTACGCGTTGTAAACGTTTCTGGACCTTCTTCTGTGTTGCCCAGCGTCTTATCAAAAAAATGAGATAATCTTGATTTTGTATCACCCAATCAACAAATTATAACATAATGATAAATTTTGGAATTGATGAAATTAAAGAATAAAAATTGTACATATGTGTAACTTTATGAACGTACAGCGTGACAGTTAAAGAAGGGACTGTGCTCTGCGGCGCAAGGAATTCTAAAGTAAACAAATCTTGCAGCGAAGTGAATCACATTCTGAGTTTTCTCGCTCTCTCTACTATAAACACTCGGAAAATGTGTTTAGGTTTAGATTATCTAGCTTTGGGTTGACGAATCGACGATGCATGGTTCAGTCTTCAGTCAATCGTGGTCAAAGCAACATAGAATTTTTTTATATTTCCTCAGCTCTATTGTAGTATTTTATTTTTATTGATTATTGTTTTATTCCATTATTTTATTTTATTATTTTATCTTGTTTATATTTTTTTCCTTCATATATTTTATTTTTTTAATTTTTCCTTATTCATTTATTCTGTTATATTAATCTGTTATATTATATTATTCATTACTATATTATAATATTTTAAAATTACAATTATGAGCGGTGATGAGGAAAATATGATTACTGCGTCTTCTAGTCGTATCAGTGAAAGTTTAGTGCAATCCAATCGTTTTAGAAGTGACGTTTGGAATCATTTTCAAAAATTAAATCCTACCACAGCCCAGTGCAATATTATTTGTAATAAAAAATACAAAATCAAACACAGCAACACAAGTTCTCTTCTACGACATCTAAGAATAATGCATGGTGCAGTAATTAATTCGAAATCGACGACATCGACCGAACCTGATCCTACCACAGAAAAAACTATTTCATATTTGGACGAAAATTCAAGCAGAGCCCAACAATTAACATACGGAATTGCACGCATGATGACACGAGATTTGCAACCTTACAGCCTTGTGGATGACGATGGATTCCTAACGTTAATGAAGATTGCAGAACCAAGATATAAAATTCCTTCACGGACCACGTTTTCCCAAACAATTATCCCAAAAATGTACGAGGATCTGAAAGTACATGTAAAAAACGAAATATCCACAGGTATCAATTAGACTTAATATTTTAGTAATACTTTGTTTTGTAATTATTCTTTCTTTTTTTATATGACATGTTGTTTAATTCATATTAGCAATAAGAAGCAACAGTGTATTTGCATTTACGACGGACGGCTGGACGTCGCGAGCTGTGCAAAGTTACATGTCGTTAACAGTACACTATATAACACCGGAGTTTGTGTTAAAACACAATATACTAAATTTAGAACATGTACCAGAAAAGCATACTCACAAATACATACAAAGCACCATATTTAATTCACTGCAAACATGGAGTATTGATATAGAGAAACCTGCATTTTTTACTACCGATAATGGTCGTAACATAGCAAAAGCAATAAATACATATGAAAAGTGGACGAGGATTCCTTGTTTCGGTCATTGTTTACAATTAGTAATAAAATCTGCCATGAAAAATTATAAAGAATACGAAGAACTCCGGAAAAGATGCCGATCCATAGTTACCTTTTTTGCAAAATCGACCACTGCTAGAGAAAAATTTATGAATGTACAGAAAACCTTAGACGATAAACAAACACCATTAAAATTAATACAGGAAGTAGATACAAGGTGGAATTCGACATATGCCATGTTCAAAAGATTTATTGTGTTACAAAAATCGTTGAATGTAATACTATGTGAAGAATACATGCCAGATAATTTAACTATAGAAGAGTGGAATTTCATGGAAGCCCTAATAATGATTCTCGAACCACTAAAAGAGGCAACAGAAAATATGAGCGGAGATTCGTATCCTACCATATCCCACTACTTCCCCATGTATTTTGCATTAATGAACATATTACAAGAAGAATCTGCAGAAAATGCATTAATTACTAATATTTCCAACAGCGTTCAAAACGCATTGAAGGTAATTTTAATTATTCATCGCAAAACTACAATAAAACAATATTAAAAAATAGACAGAAGAAATTATATTAAATCAAAAATATAATATTTTACTCGCAGGAACGTTTTGAACCAATTATTCAGAGTAATTGGATATATTATCACAGTATGCTTACTAGACCCACGTTTTAAAGACCACTTGTTACAATCGACAGAAAAACATATAATACATGAACAATTTAATGAAAGAATTTCCACAATTTACAATAAAACTAACGATAACAACAAAGAACAGGGCAACATTCCAAGCACCAGTAAAAGCTGTACGTTTGTAAAGTTACACATATGTACACTTTTTATTCTTTAATTTCATCAATTTCAAAATTTATCATTATGTTATAATTTGTTGATTGGGTGACACAAAATCAAGATTATCTCATTTTTTTGATAAGACGCTGGGCAACACAGAAGAAGGTCCAGAAACGTTTACAACGCGTAAAAATAGAGAAATACAAACATGCTTCGCTGAAAATTTAGTACCGCGGAAAACAAATATTATAGACTGGTGGAAATCAAATCAGACACGATTTCCAATACTGTCTCGAGCAGCTAAAGATTGTCTTGCTGTACCAGCAACACAAGTAAAAAGTGAACGCTTATTTTCTACTGCCGGAAACATAGTAATGCAAACACGAGCACGATTGCTGCCAGTAAATGTACAAGGACTATGCTTCTTACATGAAAACTTAAAATAAAGTATTAATACATTTATGTTAAAAAACAGTTTCATATGCTTTTATTACTATCAAATGCCCAACAAACAATCGAACCGTAGCGTCGAGTCGATCGGTCGAGCAGCCCGAAACGTTCGAGCCGCCCGAGAGTCGAATGTCTCGGGAGCCCGCTCGAGCCCGCTCGACTTTCTTTAGCTCGATCTAACGACTCGGGCGCCCGACACATGAGACGGGCTGCACACCGCTATTAATCACCATCGAGTCCGCGATTCAAGCGAGCGAGATTCAAACGAAGTCGCGTATTATAATACATATTACTATTGTATGAAATTCAATGATAGCAAATCAAGCCGGGAAAACCGAATATTGTAAACTTTCTTTACGGCCGCGTTCAGGATCGATGGTTTCACGATATGGACGTGACTTCTCCTCTATTTTTGAGAATTAAAATTTCGAGACCTTTTTATTTACTTGATTTGCCCGCGTTGAATTTCATACAATAGTAATATCACAGCACAGCCGACTCTAGTAAGTACTAGCCGTGCTATGAAACGTGGCAACACCGCTCATGTGCGGATCGGGAGTCCTATTTTCAATAGTGGAGTTTTGTGTTCAGGATTATAATTAACGTTATTTTGCGATATAAAATTATACTAATATACAGTATTTTTTATTAATTATGTATAAGGAATATATGAATATCATAACTATAGTAAGTAGAAGTAATACAGAAGTATATTAATATTTATAAATGTGGTATATATTTTGTGGACTGTCGGAATAGTTTGGTGTTGTGATGCATTATATTTGAAATATTCACAGAGATTTCAAGAAAATAGAAGTGTGAAACAAGTTAAAACCATCTTTGAACCAAACTGAAGGATTTAAAAATTGATAAAGGTATGTATAAGTTAATAGAGACCTGAAATAGGCAAAATTATTGGTACGAAGCCAAACAGGTTAAGTGCCCGTGGAAAAGAGGTTAGCATAATTAGCTATTGAAAGGAACAATTATGGAGTTAATTATAAAATCGTGTTAGAGGACAGTATGATAATTGTAAAAAATTTCCTCACCACCCTAGGGGTATTTACCATGGCGCGTTACCTTTTTTTTTTATTATAATGGGTGGTTCGCCAATAGCCATATCATCCCATTTTCTAAAATAAAATTAATATTTTTAAATAGAACATAACAAAAACATAACTTTTGTATTCTTAAAGAAATAAAGTATTACATTTTGAAATAATAATAAATAATTTTGAATAATATTAATAACAAAACATATCAAAACATACTTTGAAATTCTCTTGAAATACAACTAATAAAACTTTGAATCTTGTGAAATAGTATTCATAATAAAAATATACTAAGCAAGTAAATAAAACTCTGTTAATGTATTAAAACATATTGAAAGGAATAAGTTAAATATATATAAAAATTAATGTTTTAAGAAAGATAAAATTAAAAAAAATCATTGAACATCTAGTTCCTATTAAAAGTTTTTAATTTACGATTTTTAGAAGTGATGTCTGTACGTGTTTCCAACTGACTATTATTTACAGTTTTCACATAATCGTTTAATAAAATATTTGAAAAAATTGATAATAATTTAAACCAAATACTTTGGTAAGCTCGACCACAAACGCATGTATCTGAAAATGCTAAATAATGTATGTCTGATTGAATGCTAATATATGTTAATTTACATAAAATATGTTTATGATTCCAGATTGCAAAAATTGAGATTCTAAATTGCCATCATTTATTATGGCTTCCATTATTGCATACATATGAATAAATGAGGCTATCGCTTCTTCAGTGGGGGCAGAAAGGCCCCCTCTTTGTAAGTGATCAAAATATACATCGCTTACAGTTTTACCTTTATCCTCCACAACTAATAAACGACATATATTGCAATTTAATTTTTTAGCAACAGAATGGGACCCATAACCAGAAATATAAATTTTAATGGAATCATCTACAACACAATCGGACAAGTATTCGGTATCGAAGATTCCTGAGAAACAAGTCACATCAGTAGGAAGATCATGAAGATCGTTATTATTGTCATCACAAATTCGAAATTTATTTTGATTTCAGTAAGAGAAAACGAATTTGCCGATTTTGTAAATATATGTTTTAATCTAATTTTTTTTTCTGCATGAATTATTTCGTTATATGACACATGATAATTACAACCAGATAAAAGTCTATAATTTCCAAATCGTTTTTCTAATTTTTCGGTTGTAAAATGGAGGGTACTACATTCCTTATAAGCCTTGGACATCTCAACAAAACATTCTCCAGTACACCATTGGGCGATAGAATACCGTGGTACCTTTCAATATCAGTTTCTGCAAAATGCAAACTACAGACGGCAGAATATTTTGATGGTGTCCAATTCTTACGAGGAATAGCAACCCTCCATTTCTCCCGCAATTCCTCATCTTTGGGGAATAAAAATATAGAATTGTAATTATTATCTTTTAAGGTACTATCATAATTTCCCTTGCAATTGGGAACACAGCAACGCCGTGGCATTATTAATGAATATGTGAAATTTATAAAAAAAGTGTATATAAAACAAAATGTCCAAAAATGCTATAGATTATATTTATATACATTTATATACAAAATGCTATAGATTATTAATTATTTGAAACATTTGAAAGATAGGCGGGAGACCGGAAGGCCGGTAGATGGAGCCTATGTAGCCCAGAGGCCGGTGGGTAGTGGGAGGCTGGGTGGCTGTTACGGTAGGTTGGGCTAGGTATATCGAAGCCGGACTCCCGCGGTGTTGCTATTTTATTATAGCACGGCTAGTACAACTAGAGTCGGCTGTGGTAATATACATTATAGTACACGAATTTGTTTGAATCGCGTACTCGACGGTGATTAATCTAGTTTCAATAAATTCCCGTCGCGGCGCTATATGTACTAAACTCGAATTCACGCAATAGCGTAACAATAGAAATGGATGCCATTCTTCAATTTAGTATTAAAAATTATCGCCAAAAAAATTCTGACAAAACATTTATTATTGATTAATATTGCTACTTTCTTGAAATAATTATGCAATTTATTAAATTCAAAATGTTGGATCAAAAGTTCGTTTCAATCGAAATGGCTAGTTTCACATTGCCGTAGTGAGGATGATTTATAGATAAATGTTAAATTCAAATAGCTGGTCCTTTTCGTCAATGAAGTCGTATTTCTTGACATAAAAAGGTTGAATCTCGAAAAATAATACTCGAATAACGTATTATCTGCATCGATAACGGAAGAATTCACGAAGATGCCAATATCCAATAAAAAAATAGTGTCGAGAGGTTAGGAATGTTTATTGACAACAACTTGCTGGTCAAATAGATTCCATGACACTTCTACCACTAAAATCGTCGTCAAAGAATTTTGACAAGATGATTAGAAAAAAGTTTCACATAAAACTAAACATTCCAACATTATTAATTCTAATATGTATCACTCTTTTGTGCGTGCATTATTTGCCTTCCACAAAGTGTTCATCCAATATGCAAGAATTGAAAAGCAAGTCGAAATTTAGGCTCGTGATACTCATACTCTCCATGCCTGATAATTTAGAGCAGAGAGCTGTAATTAGAAAAACTTGGCTGGGGCAAAAATATGCTACCATCGAGCATCTGTTCGTAATAGGAACCTTAGATATACTACCAGAGCAACGAGAAACTCTTCAATCCGAGAAACACAAATTCAATGACTTGCTTCTACTGCCAAGATTACCAGACGCATACGCGACTCTGACAAAAAAGGTTTTATATGCGTTTAAGGAGGTCTACGAGCATTATGACTTCAATTTCTTGATGAAATGCGACGACGATTCGTTTGTTCTGGCGAACAAGATTCTGAAGGAGTTAGATAAGTGGGAAAGCAAAGGCACAAGGCGGGAATTATATTGGGGTTTCTTCAATGGAAAGGCCCAAGTCAGGAGAAGCGGACCTTGGAAGGAAACAGAGTGGATACTATGCGATTATTATCTTCCATATGCACTGGGAGGTGGATATGTTCTGTCATACAATCTAGTGAAGTTCATCGCATCGAACATGGACGTTCTCAAGTATGATCTTTGGAAATGTGGAAGTTAGATGTTAATTAACATTTTATGTGTTTTTAGATTGTACAAGGCAGAAGATGTGTCTGTTGGTCTTTGGCTAGCCCCGTTAGCAAACATCGAAAGGAAACACGATGTACGTTTCGATACGGAATACAGATCCCGTGGATGTTCTAATCAGTACATTGTTACACACAAACAGACTATTGCTAGCATGAAAAATATGTTTGAATATTTCCAAGCATCCGGAGCGCTGTGCGCAAAAGAAACAAGAAATCGTATGAGCTATCATTATAATTGGACAGTTCCGCCTAGTCAATGTTGCAATGTGCAATCTGGTATTCCTTAATGAACAAATTTTCTTTGTTTATCTACTCTAGTCATTACTTTTTTAAACTATACATATTTAGAGTATATCGGTAAGTATGGATTTTTCATTGATAACGAAAACACTTATGCTTATTGTTTAATCATAATAATAGGCTTTGCAAAATATCATCATACCAAAATGGTACATTTACTGCTTGTAAATATAATTTGTATATACACATTTCAATAGAGATAGAAATTAAAAATTTGTGTTTCTGTAAATGAAATATATTTTTCTCACTTGTACATACAGAGACTTGTTCATGTAATTTTATTTTAACAAAAAAACTTATTCTACACAGCATCATTTACATTTATAAAATATAAAAACATTAATAATTTTCAGTTCAATACTATAATTAAATACTTACACGATAAGAAAGAACTTTTTCGAGAATCGGTCAAGAGAAACAATAGAAGAATGTAAAGCTCTCGAATTTCAGGTATTTATAATAAATTACTACTTTGTACATCTAGAAAGGACAATGAACGTGGCCGATTCTCGAATTTTGTTCCCTGCGATAAGCTGGTATTTTACTATATTTTTTGTTGCATTCAATATTGCCAATAATATTACGTTTAACATTATGCAACATTAGACGCAACACGAACTCATTCTTTGACACTTTCTTTGTTTGCTGGTTTTTTTTTTTTTACAAATTCCCTACCTTGTTTCATGTTGAACCATGAAAACTGTTACACACTAATTTTAGAAACAATGTACGAGTCTTTTGTTTAAAATAGATCGATGTACGATTTATTTTTTCTTTCTGTCTTGTGTACATTTAGGACAATACCATTTTCCTTTAGGTTTCGTAGTTAGTCCGACACAAGCAAAGTGGAACCATTCTATGGGGCACTGTTAAAACAAATACGACATTAATCGTCTGAAAAAAATGAAAAAGGTTAAAACTTTTCAAAATATACTTACGTCTGGATTATCGCAACCAATCATTTCTCCGTAAGAAACTTGATGGCATAAACAGTAGGTTGGTTCGTTGGGATCGACTGGCATGTCCAGGACGTCCGCTGGGTGTCCAAGCGCCGTAGAATCAACTTGTGCACCGCTTCCTACAGCACCAGCAGATGAAGCAGAAGTAACAGATCCACCTACGACAGATAAACATAAAACAACAAATATATACTTTGGTTTTTTTTTATAAAGCGAGTGAAAATGTAAAATTCACCTTTCTTCTGCTTTTTCCTAGCAGTTTTCGATTCATCTTCGCTACTGGCCCCAGCAGCGCCTTTCTTTCGTTTCTCCTTTTCCTTCAACTTCTTTCTGCCCTTTTTACTGGCATTGTTTTCCTCCTGAGCTCTACTATTGTTCAAAGCCTTGTCTTGTATCTCTGCTTCGAACCTTGCCAAATCCGAGTCTAACCTTCTAATATGTTTATCTACCAATTCGTAAGTTTGTATCGCCAACTGTACCTTATCGTCGCCATATTCTTTCGCCTTATTGAATAAATTCTGTATGTGAGTCAGTTGCTCCTTCTTCTTTTCCGGAGACTCTGTCTTCAAATTTTTTAAATAGTCGTCTGCTAATTTGTCTATGTCTTTCATCAATCCTTGCGCCCTTGCATCCAGATCTCGCATCAATGTGAAGTTTCTTTGCAACTCTATGGGTAGATGCTCTAAACCTGAATGGAAATAAAATTTGTGAAATATACTTTGCAGGCAATTAGAATTCTCTTTATAATTCATTGAGAATGTTCATTTTAATATATAGCAGTGAAAACTAATGAAATAATTGCTTATGTAAATTTTTGGTGTATGTAACTTTATTGTGAATGTGTTATTTGTTTGTACACACAAACAAAATCTGTATCTGTACATGGAATTGCATGCTGTGTACATTTCTTCGATTTAGTTCTGTACTCGTTGCAAAAACTTTTGAGTGTTTATTTAGTGTTTACAGTACGAAAGAAATATTGTTGTTTTTTTCTAATTGTTTGGGTGGAGGGGATTGTATACTTACTATCCAAATAGTGTTCCAGATACAGTGCTGTCGTCATGTTTTCCTTCACTTATACGGAAAGTAAAGAAAAATTTGTTACGTTATGTGTCGCGGAATGATTTCAGTATCGAAATTTATTCGGTCGATGTTAATAAAAAATCGTGAAAACTACTTCGAAGCGAACGATCGATGGTTGTAGATGGTAGAAAGCGATCAGTGTGACCAGATCGGGCATAATTGAGTGTATCGAGAACGAGAAGAGCGACGATGAATTTGTTGTAGCAGTTTGGCCAGATCTGGCATAATTGAGTGCATCGAAATCGACATTAGTTACGACGAACTTCCTTAGCATCTAACGGAGTGGTGGGGATAGCAGGCACACACTACCTCACGGGCCACGTGTACGTGAGCTCGTCACTTCGGACAACTTCGGGAAATCGATAAAGAACGCTAGTGTGAGCCTTTCCTTCTTGCTCTTGTAAAAGAGAAACAGCTGAAATACGACCTCGCGATAATCGGCATACGATTCCAAGTCTCGACTGCCCCAGCATTTTTACTTTTCGACCTATGTAAGGTATAAGGAAAGTACCATAATGAAAAAAAAATTTCGAAAATTTTTTTTAGCGGAAATACACGTTTTAAGACCACACTGATCATATTGTGACTACAGTGAAAACTCGATAAATGTCGCTACTCCGGGTCCGGTCAGCAACACTTACGGAATAGGAGAATCGTCTTTCGAATTTGATTGTAGTTTGCCGACGCTTCGAACGTAGAAAGAGTCAGTAGCTAAAGAAGAAAGAGTGACTGAAACTCGGATTTATCGCCCCAGTTTAAATATCCGCGTCAGTGTGACCACACTACTGCACAGAAGAAAGTTTTTTATTTTTTACTTTTTGTTAATAAAAATTTCACTATCATGTTGGGGAGATTTCTCTGATTAAAATGAGGCTAAACACGATATAAATCGGTCAATATTTGGTAGCATAATATTGAATTAAATATTGTACTTGCGAGTCTTTCTCTCTTTATTTATCCTTCTTGTGCTGTCCTTTTCTATGTTCGGAAATATCAAAGAACGACGCATCGAGGTGTAGGCTACATTTATCGAACGGGAGGTAGCTATTTTCAAACGGAACGGTTCCACCGTTTCGTAAGTGATCAAAAACTGCAACACTTATGAAATAGGGGGTTTCGTTAGCTACCACTGTTCGATAAATGTACCAATCCACTGACCTTGCGAAGATACGAGTACACAATATTTAATTCAATATTATGGTAACAAATATTGGCCGATTTATATCGTGTTTAGTCTCATTTTAATTAGAAAAATCTTCCCCACATGATAGTAAAATTTTGATTAAAAAAAAGTAAAAAATAAAAAACTTTCTTCTTGTACAGTAGTGTGGTTACACTGACAGGGACATTTAAACTAAGTGACGAAGGCAATAAAGATTTTTAAAGAAAGCCGCTACGTCTCCGGTTACACTTCGCCTCACTGGTTCAAGGGGGATCCCCCTAGTGGTGGGGATAAAAATGTATCATTTATGGAACAGCTCTTGAGGACATTTATCGAGTTTTCACTGTATTAAAAAAAAAAGAAATTTTTTTTCTGTGCCTATTTACGCACGTACATACAGTGAATCACAGCCAAAATCGTACACCACATAGAAAATATGTTTCACTCGAAAAATGAAGTATAGAAATGATTTGGAAAAAAAATAAGGCAGACATATTATTGTAAATATATCAGTATTTATTATGTAATAATGAGAAAAGAAATGAATATTGCTTAACATAAAAAAAATAAAGTTACTATAATACGGTGCAGAAAACATCTTACAGTGTATTATACAGGGTGTCCGGCCACCCCAGGGAAAAATTTTTCCAGAACAATTTGAAATTTTTTTTTTCGTCGTAAAATTTCATACCTTCTCGAATTTTTTTCTGGAAAGTGGGTAGGATTTCGAGGGTATGTCTATTCACCAAAAATGATTATAATTGACCCCCGTAACCGAAAATAATTTTTCCAGAACGATTTGAAATTTTTTTTTTCGTCGAAAAATTTAGGCACCTGATTAGATTTTCGGTTAGGAATTTTTTTCTCGAAAGTGCGTAGGATTTCGGGGGTATGTGTAATGATAAACAATGATTGTAATTGACCCCCGCAACCGAAAATAATTTTTTTAGAATGATTTGAAAAATATTTGTTTGCTGAGTACTTTCAGCACCTACCCGATTTTTTTTCTCGAAAGTAGATAGGATTTCGGAGGTATGTGTATTCACCAAAAATGATTGTAATTGACCTCTGCAACCGAAAATAATTTTTTCAGAACGATTTGAAATTTTTGAATTTAATTGTTAATAACTTTTTAACGAAGCCTCCATCACCAAATTGGTATTCTTGATTTTCGTCTTATTTTGGCCTCTGGAAACCCCCATTAAAATTTTTCGCAGGGGTGGCCGAACACCCTGTACATTAGGTTTTTCGTTGAGGAGGCGATTTCGGTGACCCTTAATACCTGATGACTGGCTGTCGATGACTCGTCCTGGATGAGACATTTGTGTACTTCGTCCAGGATTCTGTACTTAAGATAGAAATGTGAAAAACAAGACTGACTCGGTTATTTTGGACGCAGCGGTTCCGATCGGCATTGAGTCATCAGGTTGGTCATCCAACAATTTTGTACAAACAATGAATAGGTATCGAAATAATTACAAAACTATAAGACGTATAATCATCATTATCCGGGAGCTGATCACGCTCGAAATCTAATCAGACCTTGAAACGAGAACATAAATCTTAAATGTAAAGTTTCGTTGTGTTAGAAACGTAGAAATCGAGGAATGCCTGAAGCAGGCCATGTGCTTCTCCTTGGCGCGCCTCCCCCTCTTAAAGAAGGATCGGCCAGAATGTTTAGACAAAGAAGGACCGTACTGTCAAGGGTGCCCTCACGACCCTGGTTTTCTGTCAGGGTACAGAACTGTATTGGCTTTTGCCGTGAGCAGATATACGCTACAGTTTTAAGGGGGTCTTCTACTGTGATGGCTGTTTTTTTCAGCTTACTTTCGGAATTTTTTTTGAGGAATAATAGAAACACACAAAGATATAACTTTTATATCGAGTGTATTGTTTATCGAACTTTGTTTACAAATTTTTGTAAAGCATGATAATAACAATAATTAGATTTATAGCACTGGAATGGTGACCATGTATAAAAAATGTTGGCGGATGGCACCCATGATTCACGATTTTTTATTCATCTGAAATTGAAAAATCAAATAGCATTTTAATATGTAGATCTATGGCTATCGTGTGAACTAGAATTAAATAAAAATATTCAAATTTGAACATTTGACAAAGCTTTTAAGAAAAAAAGTCAATTCTTCGTATTTTTTTTTTAACCTTTCAAGCTAAAGAACAAGTAATTAGTAAAATATTTCAATTATCCTAGTTCACACGAAAACTAGGGGTGTATGAAAGATATGTACGAAATTATAGCGAAATCGGTTGAAGACTTTTTGAGATATCGTGGGCGCCGCTTCAATAAAATGCGTTTCGAGAAAAACGCGTTGGAAGTTCAAGTACGTATGACACAAAGATAATTTTACTTACCGTTAATCTGCAATGCCTGGACCATACAGTACACCTTCAGTTTCTTCCTGGAAGTCATGCAGAAGTGAATTTTCTTCTCGGTTTTGAATCCGAGATTTTTTGGCGAAGTCAGACGATTTTCGTTCGAAGCGGTACAGGCGAGCGTTGTCACGGTGCGTAGAATATGTGCAAGAATTGGTGCCAATTTTCAATCCCATTGTTTCCATAATTTTTAATACTCCTTCAAATCCGTCGTTAAAAATAATAACTGCCAAAAAAGTAGCTATTTCAACCACCTTAGGCCCAGAATGAATGTGTTTTGGGGCAAATGTCCAAATTAGGGAATTCAATGATTCGTTATTATTTTGGGTCTTAGCTCCCAAGCATCTGATTAATAAATCATGTTTTGATAAATCTTCGTAAACCGGCTTAATTGTTTCTAAAATTTGACTTTTTAAAGAAACTCTATAGTGGTTAAAATTCTTGAGGAGTCCTAAAGCTTCTGCTTTACGCCAATTGCACCAGCTGATTTCACCCTTCGGACAATAATCGTGCTGCGGATTATCATCAGAAGAACTGCAGTGATAAAAAGAAGCCGAAATCTCTCTCTTCATATCATCTATTGAATCAGGATGCCGTCGTATGGCTAAGCCATAGAATTTCGTAAATTCACCAATGACTTTTTCAGTTAGTTTACCGTGTCCTTTTCCACCGATTCCCTTGTGATTTTTTTTAATGTTGCGAAGTCTCGTGCCCATCCTCTTTTCCACATGACCTACGCACTCCTTTTTCACAACTTGTTTTTCATCTGTATACGGATTAGCATTCAAAATACCTTTGAATGTTTTGCTATCTCCGTCTCCAACGTGTGTTAGGTACTGTCCTCCGCTCACTTGAAGTCCCGCGGAAGGAATGCGGGAGAAGTAGAAGGGGCACACGTATTCCCACGCACACATTGGTCACTAGCTCGCTATTCGTCGCGGCAGTTACACACACATGTGGACTGCCTGAGAGCAAGTGAGCAAGACAGATAAATGGGCGGTCCGACTCCCCTTGCCCCTGTGCCGTCTCGCGGGACTTCAAGTGAGCGGAGGACAGTACTTTACGCCATGTTTCTCCATAGAACGTAAAAACATTTCAATAATAGCGTCAATTTCCATTTTACCAGAGCTGCCAATATGATTTATGGAACAATCCTTGTGGTTCGATAACCATTCTTCGTGGAATTGGAGTTTTGGAGTTTTCAGTTTCTCGAAATATCAACAATTGTCGCGTACTGCACCGACTAAGCGAACGTTCTTAGAAAGTTCGTGATTGTTCGCATATGTAATTATCAATTGTCACAATTGCGTCTGATATGAAAAAAGACTCGGTCGTTCATAAGCAGAAATCATAATAAACACTAGTACATGCCCGAGGAATGACATAATATTGAGGAGGAAAGAGCGACAGCACCCGCCACCAGCGCGCTCCGAACACCTATTTCGTTCTACGCCTACAACTTCTGAACGGCATCGAATCTCAAAAAATCCATTTAGCCTCGTATTCTACATGAGTTTTAGATGTAATTCATGTAAAAAAAAAAAAAATGAATTTTTTCGACCCGACACTGTAGAAGACCCCCTTAAGAAGCAAGTCGTGTCGATTTTATTTAAAACGCCCGACCGCTATCCAGATCCTGATACCGAACTTTTTCTTATAATTGCAATTCATTTAGCCATTTAGACGCAATCATGTTAATAGTATAGGAACAAAAAAAATTTCTCTTTTTTTTAATAGTCACAATATGATCAGGGTGGTCTTAAAACGTGTATTTCCGCTAAAAAAAATTTTCGAAATTTTTCTCTCATTATGGTACTTTCCTTATACCTTCGATAGATCGGAAAGTAAAAATGCTGGGGCAGCGAGACTTGGAATCGTATGCCGATTATCGCGAGGTCGTATTTCAGCTGTTTCTCTTTTACAAGAGCAAGAAGGAAAGGCTCACACTAGCGTTCTTTATCGATTTCCCGAAGTTGTCCGAAGTGACGAGCTCACGTACACGTGGCCCGTGAGGTAGTGTGTGCCTGCTATCCCCACCACTCCGTTAGACGCTAAGGAAGTTCGTCGTCACTATTGTCAATTTCGGTGCACTCAATTATGCCCGATCTGGCCACACTGGGCCACATTGTGTGTGGTCTCTCGAAGCGGCGGGGTAAGCAGACACATTCTACACACGAGTCGTGTATATGTGAGTTCGACCCTTTCCGCAATTTAATATAAATCTTTACGCTCTCGATACAGTTAAAATTCGAATTACATATTATGGGGCAAGCGATATTTCTTTTTCTACGCGTTTCTTGATTCCCGCCATTTATTTACCTTTTTAGATGCATGAGGTCAACCAAATTTTAATAGTCTTACTTTTCGACCTATATGAAAAGCATAGTTACGACTTGTAACTAAAAAATTGAATTTTTCAATACGTGTAATTTCTGTATTTCTATTGTATAATTTCGTGTTGTTAATATTAAACTTGCGATTTTTGGAATCTATCGACTTGTGTGCGATGGGCTTGATTTTTAAAGTACGATAGAAAACTTATTAACTTTAGGTTCGAAAGAGTTCCAAAAGTGGAACTTGCGGTTCTAGAACCTGTTCTAACTGGTTTAAATTACCTAAGATTCTCGACCGCCTAACCCCAGAAATCTCACGACTAAGAATAGAGCATTACAAAATTAAACATACTCGGAAAACGAATTTACATTTATTAGAAGGTGGAAAAGTCTGTTTACTATCGAAACAGCGAACTTTTTGAAATGTTTGAAACTTATAAATTTAAATCGGTATAGTTAACACGTTCAGTCATTTCTTTTATACAATAACGATTTAATCAAAAATATACATATGTATATTAATTTTAAGCAACAGAAGTATGTATGTTGAGTGTATATGAGAGCCGAGATAGAGAGGTTTAATTTAAACCAGCATAGTCTGAAATTCAGGTTTTTTATGATAGTTATTCAAAATAAAAGTTCTTTATTACTGTTACAAGAACCTAAATCTATACAATAACAATTTTCAAGCCCTGGCTGGAATACATATAAATGTGAGTGCACGTGGTTACCCGCGTGGGAACACGATCTACGCATGCGCGAGAAATCGTTTTGGAGGGGCAAAACCGTTTGTCCAGTTAGACCGATGAAGACTAAGAATGGAAACGTTATTTTGTAATTCGTACTCTACACGTTTGTGCCAATTTAACTATTTTTTATGTACCGTCACGTGGATATAAAAGTAGATTCCAGTGAAACATTGCCCATAGTAACCGAAGGCATTAACGTCCGATAAAAAATTAATTTATACATATAAAACGATATTTTAAATACAACGACGTGGTAAAGATCCAAATATTGTATATCAAAAATAAATGAACACCGACAAGACTGACAGTGAAATGGATCGTGCTGACTGAAACTTATTTCGATTCATAAATTATTTGATTCGTTGACAAATGCGGAACAAAGACTCGATCGAAATTAATAGTATTATAAACATAACGTCACTGAATCCCTAGCTGACAAAATGCATCAAGTTTATCAAATAAATGTTCAGTGAAAGTGATTAAGAATGATAATATTATTTACCAATTATGTATAGAATCGACAAAAATATATTTTATATTTCGAACGATTATTCATTAATCTGTAATATATTTTCGAGCGAGATTTAATTAATGAAAGATTGAGAAAATATTTCCATTTTTTTTTTGGAAACACTATTATTAGTTTCATCATGTCACTCTATTTTATAACATTTAGAACAGCCTTAGATGATACGGATGTTGTGTAATTCCATTGACTTAATACAAATCAGAAAATCAGAAAAATTTTACAAGCAACAATGAAGTGATCGCCAACAATAAATACACGATTGTGTTTTGATGTAAGTGAAAACACCTTGTACATATGGGTTTCTCAAAGATGATAAAACGCATGCTGTATGCGAACTTTGCGTCGTGTAGCTCGAAAGCAATAGGAATATTAGCTCCGTTAACGATTCCACCATTGCATATTGCATTTTTGTATTACTTTTGGCAAGAGTACTCACGCGACGTCGATAAGCAGTATTGTTCGTGTTCATGTTGGGACACGGTATTCAAAGGTAAGTTAACGTCATTATTTAGACGTTGCATTTCATAAACATTATCTTTCAATGAGTTTTTCATAAGCACAGAGCGTTTTATTCTAGGATCGTACGAATCTGGCATCGCTTCTTACAAGCACATGTATTTCAATGCCACCGCAAATACTTTAAAAATATGGACAACCGTTGTAATCGGTGTAATCACGTTTTACGAGACAATGAAACATTTGACGCGACTAGCATTTCTAAATCGTCTTAGATTTTCTATGATGATTCTTTTCTCGACTGCTATCTTTTCGCATTATTATACTTGGTGGGTTTATATGAATTATTGGAACGACGAATTCTATTCCCAATGGTACCATCAATTGTTCTTTTCTATCACCGAGCTGATTTCTACTTTCCTGGTTGTACATCTGGCGGATAGTAAAAATCCAGTAACTCATAGAAAAGCATTCGGAATAGCTGCTATAGCTATTTTACATATCGTAGCAGGTGGTTGGGATCAATTTGTTGCTAACGTCGTTAGAGGAGAAGGTTACACGCATCAGGTAATACATAAATGCGCCATTTATGAATTACACGAATAATAAACAGTGCAACAAATTTTTTATTGCTGGTAATAAATTATTTGTAAGCTTAAAACTTTGGTCCAAATGTTCAACTACCAATTTATATGTGGTAGGTCGTACGTGATCTTGGATTTATGATCCCAGACATTCTTCATGTTGCTATTCCATTATGGGCTGTTAAATGGAAAAATATATATAATCTTCCTGGTTCAGCCAAACGAGATCCTAGTATCAGAAGAGATCTAGCATATATGTTGGGAATGATATGCATTGGATTGTGCATTTGTGCCATATTGTAATTCGACGATTACAATGCCTAAAAATAGTGTCTTAAAGATAAAAGAAACCATTTAGTTTGATTTATTTTCTTATAGAAAACTAAGGGAGACACGAGTATCCGCAGATAAACTTTATTCAAAGATACAAGTATCTTTATGAAATGTTTTCATAGTGCCAGTACTTATGCTAAAAGTAGATACTAACTTAGTTCAGTAAGTTGTATTATAAGATTATTCCCATTGCTAACTAGTTACTTAATTTTATAGGATCAAAGATCTTTTTTTTTATTTTTACATGGTTCGTTTTATAGTGTTTTAATCGATTCGGTTGTTTCGTTTTGCCAGTAGCATATACCAGTAGTATTAACTCAAAAAGCCTGTAGAGTACAATTTGCTTATTATAAATAACAAATTCTTGTAGGGTGTTCATTCCTTTCTTTACGTTGCCTATTGTGTACAAAGGCTGAACAAACAGATACAAAAATGTTGTACGTTAGATGAAAACTTTATAATATAATTTATACACGTATACTGACAATGATAAGTAATTTATTACATAAATAATGATTTTTATGAAACATCAAAATATAATGGAAAGAATAGGAAAAATTGAACGAGGATTTGTACAAATTTATATTGCGTTTTAAAGTAATTGCTTTCTACTATATTTATGACAATATATTTATGCAAGATGGTTCTAATTTAAAGATTTCGTAGTTTTTAGCATCAACGAATGTGTTCTTAATTTAATGAAATATTTAAAATAGTTATGAAAAGTTTTAAGTGTAATTTAATCGTTTTTTATTCTTAAAGTATTTATCGATTTATTTTTGTGTTTTAAACGCAGAAGCTAGATAGCATAGCATTTTTATGGCTATGTAGCACTTAGTGTATTTCTTTAAATTACGAAGCATTGTATTCGAGTCTATACGTAAAAATTATATCAACTAAAAAACATATCATATACAATGTTTGTAGTATGTTTTTTAACAGTAAAGAATTATTAGAAAAAGCAGTGAACGTATGAAAACGATTATTGGTAGTTGTCAGGAATGGAGTGTCTTTGTTAACGAACATAAGGCTACAATAAAGTGCCTATATGCAACATGAATTATTTTCGTTAAGATTTTTATTCGAGATATCAAATATAGTATATGAATTGATTCTATTGATAATAGACATTGCCTAGAAATTTCATTTTCCAAAGAAAAATGTTTTTAGCTCATTAGGCGGTAATATGGTTATTAAGGGTTAAGAGTGCAGAATTATACAATTGATTAATTAAATTCAGTATCACACTAGGTGTTCCACTTTTCTAATATTTAAGAAACAAACGATCGTTTGAACGTACCACGAGGAATTTAATTTAAATATTTTACATTGCTGATGTAATTGTTTGTCACAAAATATTATCCGTTTTGTTACCGAAAAATTTACCAAAAAATATTTATCGACAAAAGCTTGTCTAGATTTTATAAAAATTGTAATAATTACCTATCAGTATTTACCTCCGATATATCAAAAATTTGTGATAGAATATCTTTCGTGTTATGCGACTTCGATATTATTAATAATACAGCATGTTACGTGGAATAATCTTCCTAGTTGCCAATTTATTATAATTAATATTTTGTATGTCTATCAAAGGGAGTCTGACTTGTGTTAACTTTGTACATCTTTTATATTAGAAAGATAACAATTGTAAACAAAACATTAAATTTCATTTGAAAATGTGGTGGAAGGAATATATGTAAATAAATTGAAATTTACAAAAAAACCTATGGATCTTTTAAATCTCTATTGATGCATTAAATATGATCTTACTTTATATAAATACAATATTTAATGTTGAAGCAGAATTGTCTGAGTGGGCTGCATAATAATTCGTACACCGTTATTAATGTGTTCTCTTTATTAATAACAGAATTTAGTGAAACTATTCTTTACGCGTCTTTCCAATACAAGGCGATGCTCGGAACTACACGTTTGTTGAAAATTGCCGCTCGGCTTTTGTTCGAAGCACGAGAAGTGCCGAAGTTGCCCGAGTCACGCCCGACTCGCTGCTGTGCAGCCGCATATGCAGATATGTGTCTGTACGCTTTACAGAGAAATGAGATGAACTCAGCCATTCTCAATATTTAAAATTCTGCAGTAATACTCTTTCAGTAATACTAATTCCCTTCGTTCGTACGATTTCTTAAACATCTTTTGAAACGTTTAATTCGTTGACAGGTTTTGCGCACGCATGAATCACGAATTACGCTTGGCGCGTTTTTTGAGTCACCGATAGGTTAGCATTAGAGATGGCGTGAACTGCTACATTTGAATCACTCGTGATTTTTGATTCGATCATGTTCATTCCCAATCATGGTAATTTTTCACAGTGATTCGTGGTTCTTCATGATCGCTTTACATTGGCGGGGAACGTACTTCTCACGAATGATGTCCTTAGACTGTATACAGTATTGTCTCTATAGAAGCGACGCTCTCGGGGCTCAACGCTCGGCTATATCGTGGACGAGAAACGATTCTTGATACTTTGTTGACGCCTACTGGAGGCGGCGAGTATAGAAAAGAACAGCGAGCATATGACAAAGAGGGACTGAGCGGCCGAGCATCGCCGAATTTGCTATCGCTTCCTTCGCTTCGGGTCGGCTGTAACGAAACACAGGCGATGTTTATGCGAGCCTATACGAAATCGGTGTTCTAATTCTGACCTCTACCTCACTTGGTAGAGGTCGCAGAATGAAATACTGATTCTGTATAGGCTCGCGTAAACATCGCCTGTGTTTCGATACAGCCGACGTGGAGTCACTTGAGCGATGCATGCCTTTGATTTCTTATTGCGTTAGTAAATAGGACCTAAATTGTATATCGTATTTGGTGTCATTTTAATCAGAAAAGTGTCACGAATATGTTGATGAAGTTCGAAAAAAGGAAGAACAAAAATAAAGATAAATTTCGTTGTTGATTTAATATTGTATATGTACTAGTTAAATCGTGTCATAACTAAAGTACATATATGTATGTATCGCTCATTTACTGCAATAGTGATATGACTCAAAAAGATACAAACTTGCGAATTTGAACTGTTTAACCAACTTATTTTACTCTGAGTTCTCTCACGATTTCAGCAAATAAATGATAGGTCAATTAAATTACAATTCCTTTTTTCAGACGAGGATACACTTTAAAGAAAGGACAAATGTATATTATAATTTATGAAAAACAATAATAAAAATTATGTTGTACTTGATCTTAGTTAAATCAGAAAACTGTCACAGATATGTTAAAAGTTTTAAAACAAGAAAAGGAAAAATAAAAAATTTGACAATGCTCGACGACCGACCGTCAAACGGGCCGCTATCCTGGGGAACCGCCCATAGGAAGGCACACTCGCCGGTTCAGCGAGTGCTGGGTTCTAACGGTACGCAGTGGGGATACGATATTTGTCTACAGTATTGTCTCTATAGAAGCGACGCTCTCGGGGCTCAACGCTCGGCTATATCGTGGACGAGAAACGATTCTTGATACTTTGTTGACGCCTACTGGAGGCGGCGAGTATAGAAAAGAACAGCGAGCATATGACAAAGAGGGACTGAGCGGCCGAGCATCGCCGAATTTGCTATCGCTTCCTTCGCTTCGGGTCGGCTGTAACGAAACACAGGCGATGTTTATGCGAGCCTATACGAAATCGGTGTTCTAATTCTGACTTCTACCTCTCTTGGTAGAGGTCGCAGAATGAAATACTGATTCTGTATAGGCTCGCGTAAACATCGCCTGTGTTTCGATACAGCCGACGTGGAGTCACTTGAGCGATGCATGCCTTTGATTTCTTATTGCGTTAGTAAATAGGACCTAAATTGTATATCGTATTTGGTGTCATTTTAATCAGAAAAGTGTCACGAATATGTTGATGAAGTTTGAAAAAAGGAAGAACAAAAATAAAGATGAATTTCGTTGTTGATTTAATATTGTATATGTACTAGTTAAATCGTGTCATAACTTCAGTACATATATGTATGTATTGATCGTTTACTGCAATAGTGATATAACCCGAAAAGATATACATAACTTGCGAATTTAAACTGTTTAACCAACTTATTTTACTCTGAGTTGTCTCACGATTTCGGCAAATAAATGATAGGTCAATTAAATTACAATTCCTTTTTTCAGATGAGGATACACTTTAAAGAAAGGTCAAATGTATATTATAATTTATGAAAAACAATAATAAAAATTATGTTGTACTTGATCTTAGTTAAATCAGAAAACTGTCACAGACATGTTAAAAGTTTCAAAACAAGAAAACGAAAATTAAAAAATTTGTATTATTGCACTAGTGTTGCCTTAGTAATTTGAGCCCGTATCGTATGACAATGTTCGACGACCGACTGTCAAACGCGCCGCTATCTTGGGGAACCGCCCATAGGAAGGCATACTCGCCGATACAGCGAGTGCTTAGTTCTAACGGTACGCAGTGGGGATAAGTAGAGGGGATATGATATTTGCCTATATCGTGGACGAGTTCCGAGCTTATATAGAGAAAATACTGTATATCGTGGACGAGTTCTGAGCTTATATAGAGAAAATACTGTATGTATTATATTATAATATGGTCTAAAAACAATGATAACATAATTTTCTTATTAGGAGAAAGAAAAGGAAAAATTAAAAGTGACAAATAGATGTAAGTATAAGTTTTATTTTTCATTGTTCCAACATTCGTTTCATAAATGTTCATGAAATTTTTCAACAAAGTAATGTATACGCAAAACTAACCTACTTGTAATTTTAAATTCTAACTTATTTCTTTATAATATAAATATATACAAAATGTCATATTAATGTATAAAAACTATGTATAATGTTAAAAATTAAATTTATATACATGTCACTTATAACTTTATGATTAATATTATTATAAAAGCAGTTCAGCAAGGTTTGGTTAAGCATGTAATAAATATATTTATAATAATGTAGGCATAACAGAATATAAAAAAAGTTTAGTTAAAATCATTGTGGTTGCACATGAGTATATCACATGATGGGTTTATATTACACTGTTCAACACGAATTTTGTTTTTCCGTACCCACTAGGTGATTCTTGTAGAGCTCTGTTTCCTAAACGCGAATGTAAAAATGGAATTGCTGTATCACCCTCAGTTTTTGAAAAACACGAGTTTTTGT